TGGGTTCGTACGAAGCGTATTTAACGCAAGAATCATATCAGACTCTGTCCAATGCTTAACCATTTTGTTTGTTAAGAAAATACGCGCTCTGAATAAGTTTGTGGAGTGCCAAGAAAGAAAATCCATTTCGCTTGGGAATCCAACTCGCTTGTGGACTACGTTAACTAATTTTAAAAAAAGTATTAACAGAAATTGTTTTGAAGTTATATATTTTACAAAATGAGTAGTAAGTCATTGGATTACTAAATTATTGTTTTAATTAATTAGAATATAAGAGAAATACTAAAGTAAATAATTATACTATTACTCCAACAATATTACCCACAATCAAAGCTGGTATGAAGCTGGCATACAGTAATACGGAAATTAAATTTAGGTTGGTTCGTATGATGACATTGACATATCTTTTCAAAAGCCGAACAAGCTATTGTTCAATCAAAAAATAGAAGTTGAAATACTAGATTATTACATTTTGGATGAACCTTGAGCTTATGGACAATTGTCGACATCTCTTATACTGTAACCCTCAAATGAATTCCATCCAGTGGTGAAAAATAAGGCTCATTCAATAATTTGGTGAGAAAGCATTGTATGTCAATTACAAACATGAGTAAAGACGGTAAACAGCAAAGAATCACGCCATGTACGCAGCTCATATGTACTCCGTAAAAAATAAAATAAAACATATAATTACGGAATGCGAGTCTCTGATTCGCGGATTTGGCTGAAATTAGGGCTGAGCCATATTATAAACTAGCAGACTCTTAGCTGTCCACCCTCTTTAAAGTACGACGAAAATATCACTGGGTTATTCAGATGCTGTACTATGGAGCCCAGCCAAATAAAATGTTATTGCAGTGGCAACGCTAGTTAGGTACCGTTTTTAGCACATCTAAATTAAGCGAGCCCCTGGCCCACTTTCCTGAGTACAGTATCACTTGGCACGTGTCACATGGCACGATGATCTAACCCTGGCACCACACATGGTGACATGAAAATAACGAGCCTTCTTCATATAGAGTTTATTCAAATTTCAGTGAACATGCAGAGTAGATCATAGCGACGAACCTGTGTGGCATGGAGGAAATCCCTAGAGTCTGAGTGTAGACACCCATACTTGGATTCTACCCCACCAGTATGAATAATAACCTTACCTAGTTTTCTCGAAGGGAATACTCATCGTGCCAAAGCCTTGTTCTCGTCCCATTCTTTGACGATGAAGCAGCTCCGCAACCCAGCGTTTCTACAAGAAGCCAAGTGCTTTGTCCCAGGCGAAATGGATGTAACTTTTCTAGAATCGCCAAGGTTGGCAATAGGGTAAAATCCCCTTGGAAAGAATTGAATTTACATCTATTTTGCCTGAAGGCTGGGACGAAGTACTAGTAATCCTCCGCTTTGATACTTCTTATCGATCTTGTGAAACCCGGCAAGTAGAGTGGACGGTTTGGGACCCGGAAATACATAGGGCGGTTTTCGGCATGAGGGTGGTGACTTGGCTCTCGCACAGAAATCCACTTTCAAGAGACTCAGCCCAAAACGTCTGGGGTTGACCCACTTTACAAGCTCGCTCCAGAAATACCTCGCATACTTCGTGGATATCAAGCTGTATACAGAGAACGTAAATAGCTTTAGAACAGACGAAAAGAGTATAGCCATTCTTCCCAACGCTGGCACAGATTCTCCGATCTGTTAATGCATGACAAAGAACAAGAGGAAGATTGATGAGATCGGTAGCCTCGAGTTCGAACTTTACTTCGAAAATAGCCCTGCATAAATACTTCGTAAGTCTGGGCCATCGTTCCTTGCTACTGGTATCCAAGATTAAGATTCTATTCTATTCCGAGTTTGCCATGAAAAGCTCTCTTTGTGGCTGATGTTCGTCTTAGGAAGATCATACTTCTAAGGGGTTCTAAGTAAGAGACACAGAAGACTCAACAGGATGATAGAGTATGATCGATGCTTGGCGTTAAACTCTAAATTTATGCTTATAGACTGTGGCCTGTGGAGGTTGAAAGGTGTATATAAACCTGCTGGATTGATTAGAATTTTCTCATCACTCTCTCACTCACACTTTCACTCTCACTTCCAACCACCTCTCTCAGACTCTCATTGAAGACTACATTCTTTTATCCAACAAATCTCACTTGCAATATCATACTCAAACCTCCACATTCCAACTGCCAACATGCAATTCCTAACTCGAGCTCTCTTCGCGACCGCGGCTTTGGCAACCGGGTAATTTCCCTAAAACAAATGGACTGGATATCGAACTTGACTGACGTCTATCATTAGTGTTCTCTCAAACATGCACAGTGCGGCAATTTGCACAAACATCAACACTCGCGATCCAAGAGGAGTAGAAGTAAGTCTCCCAATGCAACCTAGCATAATCCAACCTCAATAGAATATAACTAACACGCCATCATAGCAAATCTTTGATAAAAATGCCACCGTATTGGCCTGCGCAGAATACAAAGTACGAAGAACCGGTGTTGAAAAATTCGATACATGCCCCGATTGCACATTCCTCGACACTCCTGACACCCAATTTTGCGAAAGCAAAGAAGAGCACATCGGTGGCAATGAGGTAAATATTTCTTCTCTCAATTCCAAGCACCCAGTCAAGAGAGGGTGCAGCTTGGATACTCCCGTTACTTCAAAGATGGCCACTAATTGTGATTGTTCAATAGTTCAAAGGCTACTGCCAGGCATTCGGTGCTGAAGGGTCACGAGCTGCTTCATAAATCTGATTTTCTCGGGCTATTAAGGGACTTGGTGATAGGTGGCGTTTATAAGAACGGGGATTGGGGACGGCGGGCTGTTTTTACTTGATGTATTATAAAATCCAATCAACCAGAATCGGTGGCCCACATGCATATATCATGACTTCAAGTTTTGGTATGGAATCCCAGACGCCAAATCTGAAAGACAAGATAGGAGTACTGTTGACGGATCTCAAGTCTCATTCAAGTCACCACGTATCTGAACAAATCTTTCCACAGCTCTGGTATTCTACTACTGCTCCATGTAAGTAGAATGCGGTCTAATCAAGAGCGATCCTTGTAGATCTTAGATACAGTATCAAAAATACACTGTAGTTTGTCTTGCCCAAAGCAAACGTATCTTCGCCAATCCTCAAAGCTTCTCTTCCTTGATCACAATCTCCCCTTCCTCCTCGCCCTCCAGAATGGTTTCTTTTGGGCGCCCGTCCTGGGCTCTCAAATCCGCTGCGGCTTTCATCAACTCATCATCTGCCTTCTTGTCTTGCTCGGCACGAAGCTTTTTGGCTGGTTCTACGATGGCGCGATGTTTGTCGAAGATAAGCTTCATCTGAGATGAGCCCCGTTTCATTTCATTTTCCAATCGCTTTGAAATTCGGCTTTTTTGTTTCATGGAATCTTTGAGAGCATCGAATTCCGTCTTCAAATCTTGACACCTGTTGTCGTGTTAGTCGCTTTCTATGAGATTCTCAGACTGAGGCCTTACTCGATCAACTCCCTAGGAGTGAGTGCGAGGCCGCTACAGCTTGCCAGTATCAATCCAAGACCTTGTTTCCAGTCTCCTTTTCTGTTGTGATTTCCGGGGGCAGCAGGTTTTGGCTTCTTGTTTCTATGCCTAGATGAGGTCGGGAATACGAGCCGTTGTCACGTTGCAGTGCTTTACGTACTCGTCTTCTACTCCCAGGTACCTGCCAATACCATCTCCTGCGGAACGAACTTTATTCATTTGTATGTTGTCGGAGCTCTCGGAGAACTCGCGCTTCAACGATCGTCCCTCAGTGGCTCCATTCTGAGCTGGCGACATTTGTTGTGCTCTACCGTCTCGTCGCGTTGGTTGGGGCTACATAGTTGAGAAACCTGTTAGCATGTATACCCTTCCAAAAGACAGTATATTTGAATCTTACCGCGTTGTGGTTCATTGTGCGGTGTTGATGTGTTTTGGTTGTTGAAAAATTTCAAGTTGAGGTCGACGGCGATGCGGTTGAGAAATAAGGCAGCAGCGATTCCACAGACTCGTGCGTGGCACGCATATTCACCCTCAAAGAACTCGGAAGAAAACGGGAAAGGAATGACATATGATCGATTCACCATTGAATAAATAACAAGGATGTGCATTTCGCTTGGGAATCCAACTCGCTTGTGGACGACGTTACTTAATAAGGTTATAATTAAAAGATACTTAATAAGACCTTAAGTAAAAGATACTTAATAAGTTCTTAATTAAAAGATACTTAATAAGGCCTTAAATAAAAAATACTTAATAAGGTTATAACTAAAAGATACTTAATAAGACCTTAAGTAAAAGATACTTAGTAAGGTCTTAATTAAAAGATGCTCAATAAGGTTATAATTATAAGATACTTTACAAGGTCTTGAGTAAAAGATACTTAATTAGGTCCTAATTAAAAAACCCTTGATAGAGTAGAGACAGGCGGTAATGCGAGCTTGCGAGCATCGACTGACTCGTATTAAAAGAGACTCAAATAACCCCAACGCCAAAACTCGCCAAACATGCCCAAGTCTAAAGGAGTCCGATTATTCGCAAGTCAGAGACGGGAAAGAGAGATGGGCTTGACCTTGAACGAGTGTCACTCAAGCCCAGATCTTCAACTGCTTCTGACTCTGCCACCCAAAATATATCCTCGGATCCGCTGTCATCCAGCGCCTCGACGGTGGAAATACCCATTTCTGCATTCCCCAGCGCAGTCTTGTAGGCATCGCAGACATTTCGGCCCCGTTGCTTTGCGATATCGCCGGTCGTAAGACTTCTATTCTTCAGGTCATGAGGCACTCCACTGGCCATTTTAAACGTAACTAAGTGAGGATCCGCTCCATTGCTTAGTAAGAGTTCCAATAGCTTTGAGCTTCCAATATCTGCTGCATCGTGAAGCAATGTCCAGCCTCTTTTGTCTCGTTGGTTGATATGGGATCTGTCTCGGATATCCAAAAGAGCATTAAGTGTGTCGATGTTTCCGAACCATGTTGCGCATCTGATTGGGAGCCAATTAATAACCGTAGATAATTGTACTGAAGCTCCGAGATTTACCAGTGCTGCTATATCTTCTGCGGTCCCCCAACTAGCTGCTCTGTCCATAACCGACCAGCCATCTACATCCTGAACATCACAGTCTGAAAATGAAGCGGCTGACAGTAAGTTCAAGTATTCAATACAAGACTCCCCTTTGTTCCCGTGAATCCATTCATAACCGAACAGATAGAATACCGCCGTCCAGCCTCTGGCGCTGACATGATCTACTTGAGCCCCCTTTTTGATGAGAAGCCTGGCAATTTCAATTTGCCGGCTTGCGGAAGCCCGGCTGAGGGGGTGTCTGATTATAAATATCAGTAGGTGGCCCTTAGGAATGAATGTATGAGCCTACGTTATCATTTGACCAAAAGGCGTATTTATGTCGGCACCTGTGCTTAAAATCGTTTGAACTAATTCTATGGAACCGCTTTCGATCGCGAACTATCACGCCCAAGTTGATAGGCAAAACGATCATGGAATTCGTGGAGAAAGATCGCTTACCCTCAGAGGAGTTGAATTGATCGGCGTGATATCATTTGGGCTGGCTTTGCGGGTTTCAAAAAGATTTCTGACTACAGCAACTTCCCCTTTTTTACAAGCAGTCATAATAGGAGAGGTCTCAGGTACGATGTTTTTCACTGTTAAACTACCGGCCACAAACTGCAAACCAATGCCTCCTAGCGGAAGTCGACGAATGCGGAATTCCAAGGAGAGCAACCACAAACCAAACACACTTTGCCTTGACGAAAAATCGTAGGTGGTCTGGTAGTCATTCCCGTATGCTGATAGCGCAGCTTCAGCTCCCAGAAATGTTCGCCATGCATTCTCAAGGTATACTAATGAACCCCAGAAGTTTATTCTATCATGAGGGCTTCGAGTTGGAAGCCCCTTCAATACAATATTTTCTTGTGGTTTTCCCTGTTTGGCGGTGCGCTCAACGTTCTCTCGGATCGACGCAACGTCTTGCAGTAAGCGATGTTCGAGGTTATTGCAAGGTGGGATGCTGTTTTTATTGCGTGACGGGACAAATTGACAATACGACTGTCAAGTTTGTTAGTACTATTCGAACCCAAAATTGCGCCGTGTATTTGGACTTTATACTTAGTAAGTCTTACACTGTAGAATTACGGCGCAGCTACAAACAGAGCATCTGCAAGTTCCATGCATCCACTGTCCCACTGTAATCACGCCCGGCATACGAGGATATGCAGACCGAGGGCGAGGGGGAACACTACCGGCATGAATTGGTATCGCGGAACGAAAGTGTCCAATTGGCCATGTCTGAATATGGGCGAAATGCACTTGCACACTGCAAATGCACCAACTGCATTTGAATGTTGGTAAGACTAATATGGAAGTTGTTGCGCAATTGTTTTGAAGTCGCTCACCAGGTATCACTCACGTTTATTCTCACGTTTTCATTCTCATGTTTTAATTCTGAAAGATTCCATTGCAGTTTTTATGATTCTTCAGAATGTTAGAAGATGGCATTCTTCATACTCTCGCTCTCGGAATAAAATATGCTAGTTTGACCTTGGTGCTCTATGTACGTTATGTTATTCCGAAGCATGACAGTAAAAGTCAAAGACTGACATAGTCGTCTTGTCAGTGTCTACTACTTCTTAGCTATCGCATACTCCTCCACCCACTGCGTAGTTATCCAGGCCCGCTAATCGCCAAGATCACCGACGGCTATGCTGGCTTGTACGCACTGTCGACAAAACTGCCCCTTATAACATATCTCGACCATCTTGAGTATGGTATGCTTACTGTAATTCTATTCAACTCTGTCTCGAGGCTGATTATTCCAAAAAGGCTCTGTTTTCCGTGCCGGACCGAACAGGCTCGTGTTCAACACAACCACTGCCCTTCAAGGTCAGCGGAAACCTTAAAACTGCCCGGAACACAAGTCTCAAGATACTAATGCTCATGTTATGATATAGAAATCTACAATAACCACCGCCTTACCAAATCACATGTCTACCGACTCACGCTACAGGCTAGTGGTGTCGAGAGCATTTTCAACTGTGTCGACAGAGATAGACATCGTTTCAAACGCAAGCTGATAGCTAAAGTCGTCTCGGACCGTTCGGTTCATCTATTCGAGCCTACCAGGAAAGCCCAGATTCAAACATTCCTCCAGCTGCTGCTAGCAACGTCGAAGGAATCCAGTCACAGCCCAATCAACATGACAGAACGATGCAAAAGACTCGGTCTCGATATCATCGACCTACTGGCCTTTGGTTTCCCGCTGAATACTCAAACGGAAGAAGAGAATCGTTTCATGATCAAAGGCATCGACTTGGGTAATTATCGTGCCAAGTCCTTCATGCAGCTCCCTGCTCTCAAGAACCGATTTCTGGACCCTCTTCTTCATGTAGTGACTCGCAAGGCGCGTTTGAACTACCTCAAGGTATTAGAGCGTATGATCTCAACGCGGCTAGCTATGGAAAAACACGCAAAGGTCGATTTCTATTCCTTCATCGCCGAGCAGGTGGAAACGGGTGGTCCTGATAGCATCCGATTCAACGAATTGTGGTCAGAAGCTGTCTTTTTCTTCCCGGTGGGAGGGGACACAACTGCTACGGCTATGTCAGCTCTTTTCTTCTATCTCTCACGAAGTCCAGAGGCGTATAGTAGACTCGCGGACGAAGTTCAACACACTTTTGCCGACGGAGATGCGATTAAAGGTGCCCCACAGCTCTCGGGCTGTCGATATCTTCGAGCGTGCTTTGAAGAAGCTCTGCGTCTTTCTCCTCCCGTAGAAGGTACTTTGTGGTACGAGCTTGCGAAAGGGGAAGAAAAAAAATGGCCCACTGGTCGTTGATGGACATGTCATCCCCCCCGGCACCCAACTCGGAGTGAACATCTATTCGCTACATCACAATGAAGCTTATTTCCCAGACTCTTTCGAATTTAGACCGGAGCGTTGGATGATTGATGACCAAGAGGCGCTTCGCAGGATGTATACAGCTTTCGATGCTTTCTCAACTGGACCTCGTGGCTGTGCTGGCAAGTCAATGGCTTATCTTCAGACTGGTATGGTGATTGCTAAAACGTTTTGGTATTTTGACTTTGAGATTGCACCGGGGATTATGGGCGCTGCTGGTGCTGGGAAACTAGGTGGAGGGTTTGGGAGAGAGCGTGGTGGGGAGTTTCAACTGTATGATGGCTTTACCTCTGCTCATGATGGGCCTAACTTGATTTTCCGCACTAGAGGAGATTACTGGAAGGATCTATGACGAATGGTTTGGGTGATCTTGATGGTTGATTCTACGGCTCTTGTATGTTTCGCAGTCGAAATTATGTAGATCAAAACCTCTGCAATACTATCATTAGATGTTCTACATAGCTTCTACACCCTTCTTTCCAAATTTATCCAGATTCTCTACATTTCTCTCAATACCCCACTTCCACCCCTTCTAATCGATACCGCTTAAACCAACTCCGATTTATGTCTTTCGCTTTTCTTCTGCCCCCCACCAATTCCTAAATGTTTATAACATACGTCTATCCCTAACATTTCTCTATTTAAACTTATTCGAATGTATAAAACGCTATAAAGCCGATCCTTTCTCTTTTGCTTTCTATTTGTAACCTCACTTCTTGAAAGACTAATCAACAAGTATAGTAAGATATTAGCTAGCGACTCGAGGATTGGGGTTCACGTCTGTTCGAGCTCCGTTCCTACCCCAACTGCCCCCGGTAATCTGTTTCTATTTCTCTTCTCTTCTATTTTGCCCAGATCTCTTGGATGTTCAAGTACTCGGGTAGAAAAGAGCGAGCTAACATTAAGAGGTGATGTTCCACGATGGGTAACGGTTTGGTATATTTGGGGCCCGAATTTTGTGGTATAAGTGGCGGGGAGATATTTATTTATGCTTCATATACTTAATGGTAGGTAATATCATATGGTTGGAGGAAGTGGGAAGCTTGTAATTCAAGAAGGCTAGGCGAACAGGTCAGGATGAATCGATGATCCAAACCTTTGCCTTTTCATTACTTCAGCGTTGTAGTGGATTGGTTTCAGCACCTCGGTAGACTACCGTATTTTGGACAATATATATGAGATAATTAAATATCTGACTAGCTTCAACTACCCCTCAAATCACTTCTCAGCCCACTAACACTTCATTCCACATATAACACCATTGTGTAGCATTTAAATAAGTCTTTCTAGATCTTCTAGCCAAGGATCGTCTTAATACGTGTACGGTATACAAGAAGCAATAAAGCAATAGCATCTCCTACAACTTAAAAGCGAAAACAATATTAACGTTAATCAAGTAATGTTCCTGCTCATTCATTAGCTTTGGTTTTCGACGCTAAAAAAACCAAACGACATTCGTACAGATAATGCTATGTCTCCATGACCAACTTCCATAATCCTCCAACAACTCTACTATAAAACACTTACCTAGGCCCCGTACGGAGTCATTGGAGTCATATTTCAGGAACTGGAGTATGACGCTTGCGAGTCTCGACTACGCTGCTCTACCCCTGAATCCATGCCAAGGTGAGCCGAGAAGAATAAAGTGGGGATGGGGTAAAGTAAAAAAGTGCAGGGGTGGACTAGGATTTGAGGTTGAGGTTGAAGTCGGGATACGAAAAGTAGGTAGTTTTGCTTTACGGAATACAACGGGAAACTATAGAAAGCTGGACATCGAATCTGCGCTACGAAGATCGGTAGCAGAGGAAACACTTTCCAGGGTAAAAAGTTCACAAAGCTGGTCCTAGGACAGACACAAGCACGAGTCCAAGCACCACATCAGACCTCGATATGAAATTTCTAGATATAAATTTTCATTGTCCGGCGAAAATTATCGGTATGCTATTAGTACAAGCACAAGATCCACCATTTCTCAATCTGTCTCCTTTGACGCCATGGATCAATGCTTTTCTTCCCCAAATAAAACGCCACCAAACTCCCAAGCGGACCGGAACCGTCGCGCAAAATACCATCCTCGTTGCAATTATACACACAGTCTGTAACTCGCATACCGACCAGCCGTCTCGGACTTTCTGATAATCTTCACCACTTGCCCTCTTCGCAACCCCATGTATCGCGCAACTGGATCAGTCATTTGAATACGTGGAAGTTGGGTATCCTTTAGACGGTATCTCTCCAACAAAGCCGATTTCTCCTCCTTGCTCAATAAAACATGTTTGGGCACCAACTCATGGTGGGTGATATTAACCAACAAATCCTGTTCATTGAAGGTCTCAATTCTCGTCTCGTTTGCGACAGCTGGGATAATTTTGAGCGCGGAAGGAGTGATGTTAACACTTGTGATTAGGATACCGGTGTGGAAATTGTTCGCGGAGAGGTATTGCGCAAATGTACGCAGGTGCTTAATTCCAACGTTGTCTGCCTCGAGGAATTCGCACCAGATTGGCCCAATATCTGGGGCAGGTGGATTTGGTTCGCGAAGGGTTGGTGGGGTAGAGTATTTTCTCATCATATCATCGCTAGGATGAGCAGAGAATTTCATGTTGGCCTTGCTGTTTGCGAATGCTTTGTTAGCTGCGCCCATGGCCGGAGTATGCCAATGGGCAGATTCAAATTTCTCGGACGAACCTAACATGACCATCGTTGGAGCAATGTTTGTCCTTGAATTCTCTCAAAGACATGTTGACTTCCTCCTCGGCCAACGTATACCCCCGATCCTGAACCATTTGATGAATCGTTCGCCATGCGCGCCACATTCGCGCAGCTTCTCTGTTCCCAGCCTCCAACTGTTTGACCCGGCGGTCTTCGTCGGCGGACATTTTGGCAGAAGTCGGAGGAGCCCTGAGGTTGATTCAAGAATCACGCAGATGGTCCCCGACAAGCGCAAGTGTGTGGAAAAATGAGGGTGGTGGGGTTGGATAGTTGGAGTTGAACAGAGGGACAAAGACGACGAGGTTGAGATGCGATGGATGAGGCTGCAAAATAATTTGAGAAGCTTAGTGCGCTACTGGTCTTAGTTGGTCACCGCAACGACCCTGACCCCAAAATTCACCACAGTTCTACCGAAATGTGTTCCTTAGGCTGAGCTGAAGCTGGGGCCGGCCGATCATCTGGTGGTCATCTCTAGACTTCTTTAGACTCCCCACACAAGTTATTCAATTACACTTGTGATCTGCCCTGCCCTGTCTGCTGAGCTGTCTATAAGGACACTCCACTCCCGAAGCCACCTCTCTCCCAATTTTCCACACGAGATCCTGCCACAATGGCCGACGTCGCAACCCCCTCAGGCGCCGCCATGTTCGATGCTGGCAACACCGACAAGAAGAAGGTTGAGAGGCTCGAGAAGCCCGAGAAGCCAGATGAAGCTACATACAAGGCATCCCTGGCCAAAGCGGAGAAGGAACTTGCTGTTGCTTTGGAGAAATTGGTACGTGCAGAGATCGGGTCGGCCGATGCAACATTATCCAACCCACACATATCTGCATCTGTGAATAATTGTTAACGTTGGATGGTAGAATGCTGTCAAAGCCAAGCTCGATGTCGGTGGGAGTAACAAAGACTCGCCTCATGCTAAGGCAAAGGCCGAGGTGTTGTCCCAACTTAAAGAGATCCAGAAGCAACAAGGCGAGGGCAAGGCCGGTCGAGGTCAAGTCTTGGACAAGATCAAGAAACTCGATGACAGCATGCGCGCTGATCAGACTGCCCTCAAGACGGCCCGTGGACGTTTGCCCTACAAGTCACTAGAAGATGTTGATCGTGAGATCGAACGCCTGGACAAGCAAGTCAACAGTGGTATGATGAAGTTGGTAGACGAGAAGAAGGCGTTAGCCGAGATCTCCAGTCTGCGAAAGCTGCGCAAGCAATTTGCTGGCTTAGACGAGACCCAGAAGAGTATTGACAACAAAAAGGCCGAGATCAAGAAGCTACGTGATAGCACGAACGACCCAGAAAGCAAGGCCTTGAGCGAGAAGTATAACAAACTTCAGACTGAGCTCGATGGATACAAGGCCAAGGAAGATGAGACTTACAAGAACATCAAAGGCCTTCGAGACGAGAGAACCAAATATCACAATGAGCAACAAGAAAAGTGGGCTGCGGTCAAGAAGCTCAAGGACGATTACTACAACGCCAACCGTGCTGTCCAAAAGTGGGAGTACGAAGCCCGTCAAAAGCAGCGTGAGCGCAAGGAAAATGAGTACAAGACTGCTTTGAAGGAAAAGAAGAAGGAACGTGCCCAACAAATGCTTGCAGAGGCCAGTGAGAAGGCATATTTAGATGAAATCAGACGTGCACAGAGTCTTCTCCAATTCTTCGATCCTACATTCAAGCAAGAAAAGGCACCACTTTTAGCACCATCTGGACTACAGGCTTCTGCTCAAAGAAAGGTTGATGATTCCGGACTCAAGGGTACCAAGATTGTCAAGAAGGATGAGGAAGACTACTTTGCTGGCACTGGTGGTAAGAAGAAGGGCAAGAAGAACAAGAAGAACGTTGCTGTTGAAGATGCTGCCCCAGTTGCAGCCAAATTCAGCTGTCCCCCAAGTGTCATGGAAGACTGCTCTTCTATGGGAATTGAGCCACCAATGAGCGCTGCCGATGTTCCAGGTGTTTTGGAGAAGGTTAAGGCAAAGTTGGAGCACTGGAAATCTGACCAGGAGACTCAGACCCAGAAGGTAAATCATCCCGATACCATTCATTCTGCGTTGCAATTTCTAATCCCCGCAATAGAACATCGAGAAGGCCAAGAAAGAGCTTGAGAAACTTGAGGCTGAAGAGGCCGAGACCCCTGCCGCAACTTCTGCCCCAGCCAAAGCCAAGAGCCACGGAGAGACCAAAGCTACTGCTGGTGTTGACGATGGTGGATCTGTCGCAAACGAGGTCGAACTGATCAAGGAGGCTGTTGCTGATGTTGTCGCCGATCTTAAAGGCGCATCTATCGAAGACAACGCATAATCGCGCCCTGGGCCGTGCCACCAATCTCAATCCTAGAACTTTTGAATCTCAACCGAACCTCGTAAGCGTCCCACTATAACGTACTCTTCATTGCAAAAAGTTATTACCATGGCTGCTGGATCCTGCTTTTTTTCCTTCTCGGTTTAGGGCAAATTTGGGAACATTGGGCAGATTTTTTTCCTTGCACGTTTACGCGCGAATGCGAAAAGACATTTAGTTACTTATGGGCATCGGCTTGCATATTCATCCCAGTACTCTGAGATCCGTCTGCGTTTTCTGTGTTCTTGTGCATTTGGCAGACTTTAGGGGAACGGGTGGGGGAAAAGGGGACCGTTTGGATGGAGACTTGATGATTGGGAATGGTGGTTGGGTGCAGTGGTGGAATCAAAATGGCGTCTTTTTGTTGATTTTCATTGGGACGGCGATGCATGGTACAATACCCCCTACTTCTTTGGAGTGGTAGGTGTAGAACAAGCAGAGGAATGAGAAAATCTTAATGATACGTCTGGAGAATGATGATGTGAAGTGATGGGTATTGATAAAGGCTGTCGTTTGAACTGGCGATGTGGTTTGGAGCATGTGAGTTGTCACTCTCGATTTGCCTATGTACATAGCAGAGCAATTTGTCCATCTCTACAAAACTCGATATGATCACTTAAGAATATAGCTTTCATGGCGGGCCCAGCCTTTTCAAATATCACCGCAGGCAGACTTCTTCGATGAAGGTCATTCAAGGTCAATTACGCACAAAGTCTTAAAATCGTCCATAGACCCATAAAATCAATTCACGGTCCCTCAACTTGCTCGCAAACCACAAACCCAGCCCGTAAAGCCAAGTCCTCGGTTACATGCAGCCCCCTAAGCGATCGGCTCAAGATAATCCAGCCTCTCAAAGCGTCGCAAGCCTTTTGATCGTGGCCTCTGCATAGGCCTTCTCATCCCAGATATACGTCACACTCTCCTCCTTCACCACCGCACTTGCCCACTTCCAGAAGTTGGGAGCCTTGGCCTCGAGACCCGCCGGAAGAGAGGCGGGGACGAGCTCGGGGTACTTTGAGAATCCGAGGAGGCGGATGATGAATGAGCCGGTTAGGACCTATTCGTATCCGGTGGGATTAGTTTCTTGTTCTGTGCAAGATATGTGTACCGTAACGAAAAAAAAGGGAAAGGAAAGGGAAAGGAAAAAATAGATATAAAGATCTACACACCTCAGCAAAAGTCAACCTCCCACTTCCCCCAAAAAACGGTCCCGCATCCGCCAGCAACGGCTCAATCTCCTTCACCACCGCATCAACGACCTTCGCGGCCGCCTCCTCCTTCTCCTCCCCTTTCGCTTTGAGAACGGGGAAGTACGTCGGACTGATCTTCGTGAACCAGGTGTCGACGAAGAAGTTGATGCGTGCGCGTTGTAGGGCGCCGCCTTCTTCGCCGCTGCTCTTGAGAAGGTGGCTGGGGTGTGCGTCGACGAGGAATTGAGAGACGATGGCGGATTCGGTGATGATGTGTCCGTTGTAGGAGATGGAGGGGACGAGGCCGCGGGAGTTTATTGCTAGGTCTGGGGGTGGGTGTTAGTTTCTTTTGTTGTTCTTTTTTGGGGAGGGAGGGGGGGGGGTTGAGGGGTTTTGGGATCTTGAGCTCGAGAATTGAAATGAAGCTTCTCGTGGGAGTACTGAAATATCAAAAGAATTGGGCTCTGATAAAGGTTTCAAGTTCTTTCCAATGATAATGATGGGCAGGGATAGGGATAAGTATGAACTTAGACTTACATTCTGGCGTCCGCGGTTTACTCAAGTCAATGAGGACCTCCTCATACGGGACACCCAGCTCACGGAGAGCAATGTGAGCACGATGTGCCCATGGACATTGATGACTCGTGTACAAAATAATCTTTGGTTGTGCCATGATGGGTATTCATGCTTTTGTTTGGGGTGCAGCTTAACATGGGGAAATGCGGGGTAGCTCCTATTCCAGCCCTGGAGGTTCTTGAAGTGTGGAGTTGAGCACGTGATTTTGCTTGTTAGGTAGTTAGGGAGTGAAAGTCTGGATGATATTAGAAGTTAGGGAAACGGGTGTAGATAGATGAAGTTATATTTATATCTGGAAGCTTCAGTATAGTATCCCACTCGGAGTGATTGACGTCCCGAATAACTTAATAGGATGAGGTGATTGTACGCTATGCTTAGCAATGATAGGTGTATTTCAAAGCAAGGGATGGGCTACCGATCGGAGGTTCGGAGTTATTGAATGCGGGGTCTGTAACTGCCCAGGTGGTATCACCAGAAGGCTATCTGGCTTTTATATATACATCCACTTGGGATTTCGTGTTCATTGAATAGATCAAATGTCTTTTTAATATTACACAAATGTGGTTCCAATTAAAGGAAAACTCGTGAGAAAGATTCAAAACTCCATCCAAACCAACGCTAATACCCTTACATAATTCCACTACAAGTATATCCCAAAAGATTCATCATACACACCATTTTGAGGTTCCGCACTGCTATAATACATACCCGTTACATACCGATTTCACCTTACTTTTGGAAACTCATCTGACTTGGTACTTGAAGTAAATCGGAGGTTTGGGCTTCGTGGCGGAAGTTCCGTTGTAGTCGACTGATGGCATCGTTGCAAGTGGGTTTCCATGTTTGTCGGTTAATTCATAATCGAAATTGGCAATGAAAAATGCGGTGATGAGGTTTTGTTCTAGTTTGGCGAACTACTTCATGTCAGCATGGACTGAAATTTCTCAATGTATATATAGGTTTCTTACCCTCATCCCAACTAGAAACGGCAACCGTCAGTCAATGGTTTGAATTTGAAAAATTCTAAAGGAAAACTTACGGCACGGGTGTCTGGCCACTCCCCAGCCGATATACGCATATGGCCTCTTCTTATCCTCCGCTCTATCAGGCAAGTATCTTGCTGGATCCCATTTAAGTGGATCTGGGTAAATAGTTGGGTCCAAACTGACATCCGCAGTATGGTACGTTACATAAGCACCAGGAGGAATCACTTCATCACCAACACCGGTAGGAATCTCACGACCACTCGTATTCTTACGGAAAGCCGCACCGAGGAGCTGCAGACGAATACTGTCTTTGAGACATAGATCCAGCGCAGGGAACTCGGATTCCCACGCTTCGACGGGAACGTATGTAAGTTGCTGAGAGAGTGGAGCGTCGGTGTCGGGACAGTATTTTGCGGCGACTGTTTTGACTTCTTCTCGGACTTTGGACATCCAGTAGGGATCTTTGGAGAGATAGAGTAGGACCCAGGCTACGTTGATGCCGCTGTTGAGGAGCCCAGCATACAGCGCACCAATGACGAACTTGATAATGTAGGGTTAGCTGATTGATGCATTTTATATAGGCGCGAGGAATGATTCACCTCAATTATCCTTTTGACATCTTCGCCTTCATCCATTAGGTATTGCAAAGGATCGTCTCCTCTGTGGCCTGACTTCTTCCTTTCATCAACAATCTTCTGGATCAACACATAAAGGCGGCCGGCTGCAATTGTTCGTTTAATTTTGGCGGGTGATGGAAACCATGGATACATAATTGCTATAGCCGTGGAACTATTTTCGATGGTGTGATACAACTGAAGTGTCTTCTCGCAGAGCTCGGGATCGTTTGCAATATCATCAGAACCCACCATGCGGATAGTCAATTGATAAACAATTCGGTAAACGCTTTCAAAGGGGTCGGTGATGCCAGATGGGTCATCGCGTAGTTTTTTCATGCTAATCTGGACATCTTCCATCAGTTTGGGCAAGCCTAAACCGACGTCAGTCAGCGCTCGAATTGGATCTTTCTTTTACCCTGCTAACTTTTGTTGAAATTCTCGTTTCTAAGCATACGAGTAAGGCGACGAGAGAAATAGGTTGTGAAGTCCTTTTCATTGGCTACCGCCCTCTCATCCTGCAGGCTATTCGGAGATTGTCCAAAGAGGACCGCATATCTACAACTTATATGTTAGCCCTTTTATGATGTCACATCCTTTGTATAGAAGCAAAACATGCCCTTCAGCGAATCCCAATTCCCGACTCTCGAAAAATAAAATGCGTGATTTATCACCAGTCAACCCAACAACGGGGTGCTTCCCAAGAAAGAAACTGAAATTCCCAGTCGGTGCTTGTTGTCTGGCATGTCGGAAGAAATCCCATCGAGCAGTGAAGAAATGGATAGCTCCTATAATCGGATACCCCGCTTTTGTTCGCTTTGGGGATTTGGCGCTGAATTGATATCTTCCTGCAACTGCCACGGCGTAGATTCCAAAGCAGAATACTGCGACTCCTGCGATCAGCGTGGTTGCTGAGAATTTTGGGAGGAGCGGTTCTAGAAACATGGTATTGAACACTTGTTGACAGGATCGTCGTACTGGTCAATTCGAGAGATGTTTCACTCCGTCGTTTTTGTACTTGTATCCTCTTTCACAAGACAACATGCCATGTTTGCTCGTGGTTGTGGGGACCATTGGGAGGGAGACTAAAGTGGTTTCATGGGTTAGCACCGGCCTCCGGGTAGGGGTTATCCGAAGTCGCTTAGCGAAATCCGATCAGGTTATTGGGTTGTGGTGGGAGCCATCGCGGTGGTGCAGTTCGGTTAGCCAATATCCAATGAAAACACCGCGGATATACTTGGCGGGGGCGTTACTATACGAGTACGCTTTAGTGACAGTTTTTGAGTGAGACTAAATGGGCAGGTCGTTTATAATTCATGTGTGAACCCGTTCGCAACGTATATTGCACGCTCCGATTGGTTTCTGGACCAGAAACTCTGAGCTTGAATCAATCTGTACTTTAGGGATATGAGTTTGATATGATTTTACTGGGGAAATGGTAGCTTCGCTCCCCCGCAACCTTGACCCTGACTGGACTATGCGTGTTTGCCCTGATGTAATGTTCCCACGTCATACTTGCCTTCGTATCATTATATCGGTTACAATCTTTTCATCGGTATATTTCAATGTGCCGTTCCCCCCCCTGATGAGTACTGTATCTCACTACGCCAAATTCGAACATGACTGCGAAGCGAACGAGGATGGAGTATTCTCTCGGTCACTTAGAACGGAAGTAGGAAATTAGGGGCACAGAGGAGGACTGTGTATATGCTCGGGGCAATACGTGATATGGGCTAGCAAAGGGACCCTCGAGTTTTATGTTCGTGGCTACATGAAACTATTATTTATTTGAAAGGGCGCCTGGGTTACTTCAAAATTATAGGGAAAGAACACTGAAATTTGGAAAGGGTACGACAACTTCATTGCAGCGGCCTACCGTATATGTGATGAGACTGGATGGGCTTCGAAAGTATAGCAAGCAGCCTTTGAGGTCAAGACGTATCGTTGAAGGAAACTAGGCTTCTCCCGCTGTGAAACCTTCCAACTACTTTCTTTAATCTTGATTTTCGAGTACTTTTCCTCGCCCGTACATACAGGATATTGTTGTCCCTGCTCTAGTGGCAAGTACGTGTGCTTTCTTACTTCTAATCCTAATTCTTATGCTTTCCTCACAAAGGCGTTGCAAAGCGGCCCATGATCAATTCTAGGGCCATGGCATAAAAAACAGGCTTTAGATTCATGATTCGTGCAGGCGGTGTTGAGAGAATGGATAACTTATCCTATGTTTTACTAGACTCTGTCGGTCAATATGGCGTAACGAAATCAGGACAGAAGAGAATAGAGAATTTACTATTGCCGGCACTCTTTATCTGCAGCTTTAGCGATACCTACTTGCCGGAATAGATGGAAAAATGTCTCTCAATGAGAACCAGGAACAGAGGAACATTCAAACTGATTCCTCAACCAAGCAGACTCGCTTATTGTTGAAAATCGAAAGAATTGGTGTATGCTACGTAAGTTTGGTTGATAGAACGACATAAATTTTATAAAACCTCTATGAATACTTTTATGAGATTACGACAGGAAATCTGTTCTTCTGGTGTATAAAAGTACTCGTATGGACTCTGGCAGACTTCTCTATTGGAGACAGGTCACATGTGTAAGATTGTGGATGCACTAATCAACTAAGGTTATCAAGAAGAGGATACAGAGTATAGACAATAGATTTTTTGTTGTCATAATGGGTCTGGGATTCATACATAGAACCAGTGTGTTATCCATCACTTATTGAATCTATCAATTATGAGACGACTTTAAAAGTACTAGCCAGCGTTACTTTACCTTTTTTTGCTTGACTTGAAACATCTCGCTGCGGTGCATGTTAGAAAAGTACACATCCAGGCTGGAAATATCAATCGTTCTTTGCAAGGCTACGAAGCATTTTTGGTGATGTTGCATTGGGCTTATCTGGATGGAGTACGGGGTTGCGGGCTTCTTTCGCCCGGCAGGGCTCTGCATAGCCTTATTTCCCCTCCGTAACGACCGAAGCAGTTATATGCTTATAGCGTCCTTATCTTCTTATTACTACATCAGAAGGCACCTTAAGCTTGGATTAAGGTAAGCAATAGCAGTCTTGTTGTCTACTCGGTTGCTTCATCCGTCAACAGCAGCACTATCACACCATGGAGGGTTACCCCGCTCTAGCCTGTCTCCAAGGTCAATATCCCGAGCTAGGCATCTACCGACGCTTTTCCAGTCTTAATGCACGAAATCTGTTGTACTTGCAAGCCGAATTGATTGATCTCGAGACGGACCTCGAAAAGTATACCAAGGAGGACGGGAAGTCTGACAAGGAAAAAACGAAACTCTGCAACAAGAATTGGTTTTACCTTAGCCGAAAAAAGGACGGTGTTGTAGGGTCGCAATGGCATACAATGACAGCCCTGAGAGTTAAATTGAGAGAATACAGTAAGTGTTGAGACAAGAAACATGAGTTTTACTGCTTTGCTGATGCCTTTTCAGATGAGTGTTTAGTGCTTCAACGCCAGCTTATGACTTTCAATCAACCCGAGCGCGGAAACCTCAAACTCTTGACGCGGTGGCTTAGCGATGAACGGCATGGTAACCTTGCAATCCAAGGTCTGGATAGAAACGTATGGAAAGATGGCTACGATTTGCTAACAGTAAAACCCGATTCTTTGGATGGAGATTCATTTACTAGACTGTTGCAAAAAGTCTTGATCGATCCTTTCCATAGGTTACGAAGCAGCTGTCGTCCGCCTCCAGACTTGGAAAATGGAATATACACATATGTAGAGGTGACAACTATAAGGGTAGCCAATGTTATTGGGACCGCAATATCCTCAATCTTGCCTGTCTCAGCTGTTGTGGTTCTATATATTGTCCGGGATATGCTGAAAAGGCTCGGAATTGTGGCTTTATTTACTGCACTATTTTCACTTGCTTTGATGGCCACTACGAGGGCAAAAAGGATCGAAATATTTGCCGCGACTGCAGCGTGAGTGATACCATATCTGTGGAGTATCCTTGGAAGTCTCACAAATGCAGCAGGTTCGCCAGTATTCAGGTGGTCTTCATTGGTTCTGCGCCGTTGTAAAATCATTTTCTCGCACTCTATCTCTAGTGATGAAAGTTTGCTTCAAGACAAATGAAGAAGTAGGAACTTGAAACTGCGACGACACAGCAAAACCATTGACAATTTGAACTAGACATCTCTCTCATGCCCCTCCTGGCCCGTCCAGAATTTGGTACCATCATGTTGTTGAAGTGCCTTAGTTCATGTCTGAAACCCATCGAAGGTGAAACAGGTCATAAGAAGTCTACCTGCGGAAGCGGCCCTCGTGATCCCTGAAAGAAAATACAAAACGATTTCCTGAAAAAACGTTGATGGACCGATCACCTACACAAGGAAGCTCGGGCTAACCTGTGTGATAGTCGACCGAACCAGAGCTGCTATCTCTGACAGTTGAGGAGTCTCTAGAGCTATTTCTTTTGGTCTTCCGCACATAACGAATCTCCTCCAATTCTTGGTGGTAGGCCTGTCTTTCTTCCTCTTGTTGTCTTGCTAGTTCCTCGCGTTCCAGCTCCCGGATCTGCTCCCTTTCCTTTCTGCGTCTTTTTTGTTCTTAGGACAAGAATTAGCGTCCGGTCTATGGAGCAGTATAATATATCATGCTAATTTACCTTTGGTTTCTCTTCCATTCCGAATCATCAGAACTGGCGGTACTCTTCCAGGACACCACTTAAGATAGAAGTCGTGGCTGAGATTCATGCCATAGCCGCCAGGAATATAGGGCACATGACGAAAGGTTTCTTTGAAAAGACGATCATTTTCTCCTCCCGAAAACTCGAGTTCAACTTCCCTGCCAACTTCCATCGCTTCTCCGTTAAACACAGTGACAATTCCGGGGAGCCCTTTTGGCACACCATGAACATGTCTCATCACCTCATCTGTGACCAAACTGGGGCCTTCATTGCCGGTGTCGATAACAACATTCGTGCGTTTGAATATCTTGCGATCAGTGCTGCAATATACCGTTACGACTTGCTTGAATTCACCCTCAGAGTTCTGTGGGCCGCAGCTAGATAGATTTCTTCTCAACCATCCGAGTGGACTCCAAGGCATGACGAGTTATTCTAATGAGCTGGTGAAAAGGCTGGTTTCTGTCTGTGTCGTAAAACCTCTTTTGAAATGCTTCGGTCTGGAAGAATGATCGAAAAAGCCATAAATTAACGAGAGCTGGGCAATCAATGACAAATTTGAAGGTGATATGAGGAGAGGATCTGAAATTCGTACTGGGGCAGATTTCAGGATTGCGAACAAGCTTATAGTGTCGTAGTGGCAATCTCACCACAGGGGCAGTCTTTACTTGGTAACACTTTTCTCATGTGGGAAATAGCCTGGTCCCCTGCAAACCCGTTCAAGCGAAGGGGGTCTACTTTTTCAAAATACTATCCGAGTCAATACCGTGCTATCTCCGATTGCGAAATATGGCTTCCGTCAGTAATGATTCGGAGTTACCGATAAATCTGAGATGCGAAGGCTTACCGAGAATGAAAATAAGGCCGCTGTCGGCACTGTAGTAATTGTACTATATTGTACGGCCTTCCGCATTAGCAGTCACCAAACTCACGACTCCGTCGAACATACTTACTACAATTAATAGCGCACGCTCTTGTTCACGTTAACTTTCATCTCCAATATCGTGTACTTTGCTAGATACCAATTAGATATCTAACGTTGGGACAGTAAACTAATACACATGTATTGCATATTACTATTGAAGGATGTTTAAAAAAGGGGACTTTAAATGTAGGTTTAAAAGACGTGAACAATTCTGTAATTCCCATTTTCGGACTAACTCCTTTTTTCTGCGGTTAATTTATCAGCACCAATATTTGATAAATCCCTAGGCCTTTTTTCAGGATGCTTCTCTGTAGTCAAGCGAACCCGACCACGGTGCTTACAGTGCGGGGGTTCCGTGTGTCTGTAGTGGTTAGGGTGTCCACTGACAGAATGGGTATGTCAGTTTCTGTATCAATACCTCCCATTTTCGGTTCTATACGGACGCAGGAAAAAACGAATCATGAGTCACATTCGCCATTATTGATGGAAACGATACGTAGCCGAACGACTTTGTGGCTTATGCCTGTTCGCCTGCAAATTCTGCTGGACTCTGTAGATTGCCACTGCCCACGGATTTAACACTTAGCTTTGCCACTTACAAGTATTATCAACAAGATTGCAGTGTTTCGAAGGTTCTCGAATATTCTGTTGTTCTCTGTGTCAGCATGCAAGGACAACACATGGCAATACAGGCACCTTTATTTCCGAAAGTTGACTTGCAACCCAGAATCCACCTAATAGATTGAGGTCTATCAAATGGCGAGCGATACAACAAACTTTTGATTTGGTTGAGAAGTAAAGAAGTTAAAAAGCTACCACCTAGACTTCAGCGTCGACCATTACGACCTAACAAACAAGGTTAAATACCGCCATATATTGCCACCGTTTAATCCTACGATAAAGATAACCGGTATTCGCGGCTTGAATCAAAGATATTCTAATAGACATTAAGCTTTCTACTAAATAACAAGCGAAAAAAACGGAGCTATAACTACGACTCGCAGCGTGGGAACAAAATAATAAACGAATTAATTAATACTCTGAATTATTCAGATTTGAATTAATTTGATTTAATTAATAAGTCTAGTTAATTTAATTTAATTAACCGATTATTTAATTAGAGTATTAAATAATTAATATAGTACTATAAATAGTAACTAAAGCATAAAGTAATTATCCTTAAATAACGCGTCTTTCAGTAGTATATTCTTATCGTTGTTTATAAAACACCCCTAGCCTTTCAGGCTTATTACTAGTATAGGCTTTATAGTCTCTTTTGTTATTATATCCCTATTCTATAAGATAATATAAAGTAGGTTATATAACTCCACGTAACCTTCCTATAAGTTATCTATTACAACAAATAATTAGTACTATAAGCCTTTTATAGTAAGAAAAGAGTCTTAGGTATTATATATAAGTTTTGTAAGCTCTATCTAAGTACTTATACGTTATATAGAGAGGTCGGACTACCCCGGACTCTAACCTACCTAAGTGTCACGAATCACGTGCACACGTGATAAGTGAAGACCAGACGGCGTCATGACAAGCCAAGCACATATGGGCCTGGGAGCTTTATGTGTTCTGGGAAACCAGAGGGAGTTTTCTTATGTAAGCAGGAGCCGTTAATTGGTTGGATAATGTATATGGATGTATACCTTTACCAACATGTTGGTCACGTGATAGTCGACTGGTCGACTCGTCGACCTGTCGACCTGGTCGACAGAGTTGGTTGTCGACCAACATTCCTTAGTAGTAGTATTCAGAGGACGAGGGTTCTATACAAGACTGGCACGTCTGCCATTTAGATAGGAGCTTCGTGCTCAACTTAGTTATCAATCTTATCATATTAGTACGACCTGTCGACCTGGTCGACAGAGTTGGTTGTCGACCAACATTCCTTAGTAGTAGTATTCAGAGGACGAGGGTTCTATACAAGACTGGCACGTCTGCCATTTAGATAGGAGCTTCGTGCTCAACTTAGTTATCAATCTTATCATATTAGTTTGACATCTTTGATACAAGTAACGAGTTCACTTCCAAGTGAACAACCCGATAGTCTTCTTCTTATCATAGCATACCAACCAGCGAACACCCAGCCAAGTTTAGTTAGCCAGTTTGAGTATTCGTTACACGAGTCTCGGACCGATTAGACTCTATATTAATCTAAATTAATCTAATTACTTAGCGATTTAATTTAATTAATCGATCTATTAATCTAATTTAATTCAATTAAAGTTAAATCTTTTCGAACTATTTAATATAACTTAAGTTATATGTTTTTCTCTACTATTTTAAGGGAATATTCTAGGTCCAGAAAGTCTAATTCTTCATACTATCTTTGAGATATAGTATATATAATAATTATCTGTTTCATATTAAAGTTATATAACGACTATAATTATAATAATTACAAATTAATTATAAATTACTTCTTAATTCGAGTTTATATTTAACACTACGAGATTTCTAGCCGCTGGCGTACGTATATAATCATTCGACTCATATATTAACTACTTGAGCCGCAAAGTGGGCTTAGAGTGGGTATCAGATCCTAACTATAAGAATCCAAATGTACTGTACATATGCGGGGTTCAGGAGATAATAGTCCGACATTAGATTTGTAGAATTCTCTACATTCGAACCTCGCCCGAGGGTGTTTAGGTTTCGAGTGTTAGAATTGTAACATACTACCGTCAACAAATTCTTACTACGATAATTTCCGGAGACCTCAATGTACTCAGGATGCAATAATAATCGTGCCCAGCTACAGGTGTATCGGAGTTAAGACAAAACCCGATGCGGGCAAGCATTTACCCCACATTCTGAGCTCAGCCGACGACACCCCCAACCTTGAACCTCAGCTGCCCTATCACATCCACTACTTATCAGCGCCCGCCATTATCCCCCGCATCTCCTTACAACCTTGTGTTCAGTATTCGAGTACAAGCACGCTCACTAGCCAATCGTACATTTACTAGTGTAACCTCTGTGCTTTCTAACTTTTACCTATTTCTTCACCGTTTCCAACTTCCATCTCATTGCCAGTTCTCAAAACACCTTGGTACTTCTTCAATTATGGCTCCTCCATCTGCAACCGCTGATATTATTGACTCTGGTGCAAGCGTATCCTCAGGCAAAAGCCAGCAACCTGCGACTGAGCCTCTTGAGGTTGGTGTTAGCACAAAACAATCCGAGCTTACGGATTTCCAATCTATTCCAAAGGTTCCAACAGCAGGCGATCCATACAAAGAGAGAGAATACCAAAAGGGCAGATTGGTACTGGCATTCCGCATTTTTGCAAAATACGGATTTGATGAGGGGGTTGCGGGACACATTACTTTGAGGGTTAGTCTTTTCCAGAAATAGAGAAAGGGTAGCAAGTTGGGAAAGTCTCTGGAATCGGCCTACAAGTAGAAGATTACAATGTCTGTTATGATTGGACTTTTTCGATTTATTAACTTTTTGAAAATAGGACCCTGTTGAGCCTACTAGCTTCTGGGTCAACCCATTCGGAGTCGCATGGCCTCTCCTCAAGGCATCAGATTTAATTCGAGTGAACGCGGAAGGAAAGGTAGTTGATGGCGGTCCATGTCGACTTCTCAATACAGCCGGTAATTCTTATCTCTAAATCATTCAGTTCTGTAGCTAAGTTGTACAGCTTATATGATACATCATGCCGTACACGAGGCTCGTCCCGAAATAAACTGTGTAGCACACTCCCATTCCATCTACGGACGAGCCTTCTGCACACTCGGACGTCCTCTCGATACTATCACACAAGATTCATGCGCCTTCTACAACGACCTGGCAGTCTACAACTCGTTCCGAGGCATCGTTCTTGCTGCCGATGAAGGTATCGCAATTGCCAAAGCTCTTGGTCAGAAAAAAGCTGCTCTTTTACAAAATCACGGCTTGCTGACATGCGGCAAAACAATTGAGAGTGCTGTTTTCTGGTTCATGAGTTTAGAGAAATGCTGCCATGCACAGCTTCTCGCTGATGCTGCTGCCGGAGGTAGGGGCGGGGAAACTATCAAGATCGACGATAAGGATGCTGCATATACTTATGAGACGGTTGGTACCGAGAGAGGTGGATGGTTCAGTGCGAAGCCACAATTTGATATGATGGAGCATGAAAGTGGCGTTGATTACAAGTGGTAGTTGGAAACCATTCTCTTAGCGGTAACTCCAAACTGTGAGTTGTATTACGCTATCTTTCTTCTGTGAATATTAACTCTGGTGGTCCTGGTGGCCTGAACGTGGGGGAAAAAGCATATTTTGGTTAAAATGCCAGCCATAATTTTCTTGAAGCTGGAAGTAGTTTTAGTCGAAAAGTGAGTAGGTCACGTGAAACGTATATCTCTTCCATTTCCATTGTTCCCGCAATTCCTGAAAGACTCCTGGTTGTATAGGAGCACGCTCCCAAATGGGACAGCGGGTTCATAGTTTCTATATGTTGTGAGTAATGTTGTAGGAACCGAAATACCCGATCGCGGATCTAAGTATCCTCTCGCCACAGTGCAACCCCACCTTTGACTTCTTCACAAGCCAATAGTATTTACAATATCGGAATTCACTAACATTCCGCTATTCTCGGGATTTGATCGTGTGTCTGAATATAATTATTCAGTCACACTTGCATTTTTGCATTATAGATTATCTCATGGTAGTTGTCTATCCATCATCATGGCATTTTTCAAATACATAACATGGGTCTACCGAGAACTAGGCCTCAACTCCCTCTACTCCACGGGCGTCGATGCATGGCTTATCATCACCGCAAGATGTCTCCGAATGGTAGCCTTCGGTACCGTTTCCCTCATCTTGGCACTCTTCTTCTCAGCCTTGAAGTTTTCCGATACTTATATTGGTCTATTCATGACCCTAACACTTCTCGGGGATGTTGTTCTCTCTGTGGGAATTACCCTGATTGCGGACCAAGTGGGACGAAGAAGAGTGCTGATTGGAGGATCGACTTTGATGGTCGTATCTGGGTTGATGTTTTCATACTTTGACAACTATTGGATTTTGCTATGCGCTGCTGTGTTGGGAGTGATCAGTCCCAATGGAGCTGACTTTGGCCCTTTCAGAGCTATTGAAGAGAGTATGCTGTCTACCTTGACGGGACCGAAGACAAGACCGGATGTCCTGTCTTGGTATATAACAGCTGCTACCCTGGGACAGTCAGTTGGAACCGAAGCGAGTGGTCGTTTTGTTGAATACCTCGACAAATTGGAGGGTTGGGTAATAACTGATGCTTATCATGCTGTCTTTTGGATTTATTCGGTGGTGGGAATGCTTAATATTCTATGCATGGTACTGCTCGGTGACAAATGCGAGGCGCCAGTCGCCCCGACCGAGCATCAGGAGGAGGACGCCGAGGGATTATTAGAAGGAGAAGAAGGCCGGGAGCTTGAAGAAAGAGAATCTCGAAGCCTTGAAAATGTACAACCCTCAAAAGTCGAAACTCCACCGGAGAAAAAGAGTTTCTTTACTCATATTTCAAGGGATACGAGGGTAGCAATGTACAAGTTATGGTTTCTACTCATCATCGACTCGCTCGCCGATGGAATGGTCGGTTACTCGCTCGTCACATACTATATGGATCTGAAATTCCACCTCCCGAAATCGACACTCGGCGATATCACGTCGAGTAGTTACTTCCTATCGTTCATTTCGACACTCTTCGCGGCACCACTATCGCGTCGTCTCGGTCTGGTAAACACCATGGTCTTCACACATTTACCATCTTCAGCAGCTGTCCTCTTCTTTCCACTACCCAAAAGCATCGTTCTGACTGTCATCCTCTTGATGATCCGTACGGGATTGAATAGCATGGATCAAGCGCCCAGAGTCGCATTCATCGCCGCAGTTGTTCGACCAGAGGAAAGAACTGCCATCATGGGGATTACAAGTATGCTTCGAACTTTGGCCTCGGCTATTGGGCCAACTGTTACTGGTATATTGGCTGGCCATGATCGTTTTTGGATTGCCTTCGTCGCTGCGGGTGCATTGAGGATCACGTATGATTTGGGGTTGTATGCTATGTTTGTTAATGTCAAATTGCATCAACATGAAGGTGGAGAAAAGAATGCGAGTCTGCCGGTGGATGATGAGAGGCGGTCAAGTGATGAAGAGGTGCGATGAGAAGCAGACTTCATGATCTTGGTTCATAAAAAGCGTAGCCTGATTATTGGATATGAAAGCGATTATCTAATTCCACGAATGGTGACACACTAATGATGCGCTCAATCGTCACGAGTATGTGTGTGGATTCAGGATATAGAATTATCGACAGCCAAGGTCCTTGAACAACCCGCTGCCGGGGACAAAGCTTAGCGACGTAGAAAGGCGATCCTTGAAAGTTTACTTGAAGCAATTCATTCGGGAAAAGCTGGACCTCGAACACGGCGAAGTATGCAATTCTAAGGAATTTACGAATTTTCAAGGGAAAATAAGGTCTGCGTTTGGGGAATGGAGAGACAATTGCTATTTCTTAGAGCTTTGCACTTGTGTGAAGACAGGGAGGGTGTGGGTGATCAGAATGATTGATGAATACTTCTTCTCGATATCACTCACTCCTCAATCTTGCCCAGGCTTTCACACTTGTTAAAACGATATAAATCTTGGTGACTTGCCTTCGTAATATATTAGCTAAAAGAGTCTTCACGGAGAGACGGTGTGCGGCCGGCAGATTCTTAGTTGCATATTTGCGGTATTGCAGTTAGAAGCATATATCACGAACGTCTTCCGTTGGACTTTAAATGCCTATCTCAGTCATCTTACTCAATAATGGTTCGGCCAGTACGATCGAACCGCTTTTATGTTTCTGCGCCAAATGACGCCATATTCTATTTGAGGTACAGTACTTGTACGGTAATTCCTAAACACCTCGAAATTATCCAAAATATGAGGAACTGTAGCAAACATCTTTGTACACATCACCTTGGAAAACAAGCGGATAATCGGCACAACGCTATTGCCCACAGCTAGCTACGTACAGCCATTTCACCTCTTTTGTACGAGTACGGAAAGAGAAAAATGAATTGGTGGAGTGGATCAATCATACAGGAATTCTCGAAGTGCCCCCGTCTGCAAGAGTCAGCAATACAGGTGGGATGTCACCCACTTCTCAACCACCCACCAATCAAACCCTTCAATATGACGTAGGATCAAAAGAGCCTGGATATGTTGATGAAAGAGCGAATATCTACTCCAGTGCTCGAGTACTCAAGCATAGGTAGATCAAGAATGGAATGAAGAAGGATTTTCGCATCTTCTCCTCTCCCGTTGCCTCTCACTTCCAGGGATACTGTATAGGAAGTACAAACGAATCTGAACTGGCTTCTCTAGACCACGGTGTCTGAAACGGTTTTCATTGCTTCTCTCCACCGTAAATTTTCCGAGCATCCTATAGAATGACTTCTCCACCTCCAGCCAGCTCAATTGCTCCATCAACACGCATGGTGAGAAGCGAGGACGTGTTGGTGAAACGGTAAATATGCATCGTTGTCGGAGATAAGCAGGGGTTTTATCATTATCTCCAGTTATGAAATAATTGCCCCTCACCTTGCCCCTCACCTGTGGAGATATACAAAAGGATGTGAGCTCGCTTCTTGAGAACAAATTAAGTTACACCTCGTCTTCCAGACCATACTGTCATCTCATCACCTCCCACTTTAAGGATCTAAAGTACGGATTCAGCAAAATGGCACCAAAGACAACCATGAAGGTGGTCTTCGGCTCGATGACAATTGGAAAACCCGGTAAGTCCCTCACTTGCGTCCTAGACTTCCAATCCTAATTCTCAAATAGACACCCTCGGAGCCCGAGTCCACACCGCCGAAGAAGGAGCCAAAATCATCGACACATTCCAAGCCCACGGCCACAAAGAAATCGACACCGCCCGCATTTACGGAAATGGCACCACCGAAGAACTCCTCGCCGCAATCGACTGGCAAAAGCGTGGCATCGCAATGGCGACCAAGCTCTATCCCAACGGCGCATCCGCCTTCTCCTTCAAAGCAGGTGCTCTTTCGTACACACACACCCCGGAAGATGTGCATCGAGGATTCGAGGACAGTGTCAAGGCGCTGGGATGTGAGAAGATTGATATGTTCTACCTCCATGGCCCCGATCGCACTCATCCGTTTGAAGACACACTCAGAGCGGTCAATGAGTTGTATGTTGCGGGCAAATTTAAGAGATGGGGTGTTAGTAACTACCAATCGTGGGAAGTGGCGAAGATGTGTGAGATCTGTGAGAAGAACGGGTGGGTGAAGCCGGTTGCGTATCAGGGTGTATACCATGCTCTCCAACGACGCACTGAAGACGAGTTATTCCCCTGTCTTCGTCACTATGGAATCTCGTTCTATGCATTCCAGCCGCTGGCTGGGGGTTTCTTGACGGGTCGCTACACGAGAGATATGGAAGCGGATTCTATTGAGAAGGGATCTAGATTCGATAAGAATACCGTTCAGGGAGCGATGACTCGATCAAGATACTGGCATGATGAGTATTTTGATGCGTTGGATATCCTTAAGGCTGCGGCGGATAAACATCAACTTACTCTTGGTGAGGTTGCGTTGAGGTGGATGGAGCATCATTCGATGATGAAGCCGGAGTATGGGGATGCGATTATTGTTGGTGCGTCGAGTGTTAAGCATCTTGAGGATAACTTGACGGATTTGGAGAAGGGACCGTTGCCTGAAGATATTTTGGTGGCTTTGGAGGAGGGTTGGAAGAAGGTTAGGGGTATTGCTCCTAAGTACTGGCACTGAGTGGTTTGTGGACATATGTAGACCATTGTCGCAGTACCGTTTTGTGAAATGAAATGAAACTACAGCTGCTGTTGTAGTGCATCTATTTGCCAATCATGGAATCGGCGACCACTATCTAGTGCCCAACCCTGTAAATATATTTTCTTATTCGCGGTAAGTAATAACATGTGATCGATACTATCTAGCAAAATGCCTTTATTATGTGTTTTTGAACGTTAAACCTTGTGGACAATGGCTCTGATTTTTCGAAACAACGGAATTGATAAAGAAGGGCGCTTAGCTAAAAAGTGGTAAGATGATTGTGCAAGTCTTGATCGCTGGGACATATTTACTCAATTCCACAATTCGGAAGAAGAGTGTTCCAGCTCAGCAGTGTTGAAAAGTACTACTGTACATAAGAGAAGAAAGACACCAATCATCCATGTCGAGCATAAAACCTCTGGATCGCCTCCGACGTCTTTTCCGGTGCCTCCTCCGCAATGAAATGCCTAACTCCACCACCAAAACCATTTACCTCCAAGACTCCGCTTCCCATCCACTCTCGCCAGACTTCCTCGACATTATACCTACTACCAAGATACCCCGCCGAGAAAAGTGCAAGAACATCGACATCCAATTTCTTGCCTGCTATTTGATCTTCCTCCTGTTGAGTGATATCCTCAAATGCTCCGGCTCGGTAGTCATCAGAAGAAGCTCTGATGACCGAGTCATATTTGAAGGAGCTCGCATAAACACTCTTGGCATCCTGTTCATTAAATCTCGCAACCGCAGTGGCATTACTGCCAGCCCATCTTTCGATATTTGCTTTGATGAATGTTTCTGCGCCTAAGGACTTCATCATAGCGGTTGCCAGATCGACGTTTGCGAGAAGTGGCCAGTGATAACTGTCTACCGCAGCTGCAGAGTCCGCAAAGGACTTCCATTGGATGATCGTGGGAACTATGTCCATTAAAATGGTGCCTTTGAAAGTGGACCGTGATAAAGAGTGAGCATCGACAGCTAGACGGTGGCACACTCGGGCTCCGCGGTCATGTCCAGCTAGGATGATGGGTATTGGCTCGTTGGATGGTGAGAGGATTTGGTATAGAGCCTTGAGGATTGCATGGCCGACATCGCGTTTATCGTGAGGGATGGACAGAGGAGAGGACCGGCCATATCCAGGCAGCCGTGAGTGTTAGATTGTTTGATAAACAAGATAGGTCGGGGTCAAACATCTGGAATGAATAGAGGAATCTTTTTTGGAAGCAGAGCTACTACCTGTGCTATTGTTAGAGGTGTAAATATGCATTGTGTTACGGACAACTCACGTGTCTCCATCTAGACCAGGAATCAGGAACTGCTCAATAGTAGAAACGGACAGTATATGGGAAGATAGTATATGGGAACTGGAATTTATCAGTTTATAACCTTACATGAAGTTTCTACTATAGGTTGATATTATACGACTTTTCAGCTCGGAAGAACTCTCACGTTTGAGGATATCCATGAAGCAATATGAGAATAACCTTCCGGGAGCTCAAATCTTTCACACCTCGATGATAGAAGAACACTTTGTCTTTGGCAGCGGACCCAATATTGCTTTCGAGACCCAGACTAGTCATGTATTGGACGTCGTCTAGTCTTGCTGTAATACAATTGTCATCAAAAAGAGAGTCCATGATAAACGGAATGAATTGGATGGAGAGTGATTTGGAAATGGTTTAGAGGACGAAAGAAGGAGCTCTATTTGATACAGTTCGTATTAGAATACTAGTGCGAGGTAGGCTTAAAACTGAAAGAGGGGTCTACAGCTGAGTAATTCACTACCGGGCTAGTTATTCTGGCTTAACCCCGAAGGATTATGATAGAGATCCCATCATGCATATGAAGACTCCTTCCCTCAAAAGCGTGAACCAGACTTGCCATCTGATATGAAAGAAAGGATTTATTGGAGACCTTTGAAATCAAGTCAAGAAATAAACCTTTGTCTGAGTTGATGTCGAATTGGCAAGAAGTACTGGCTGACGTCGTCGGGGGTACCATCTTCGGCGTCCGAGCGTGGTTACTCCGAGCGCCCCACCTCAAGAGCTCTTCGTCCATAATTTCTATGCGCCCGCTGCGCTGAACTAAACTTATCAATTACAACCTTTTTTCAAGGTTCCAATAACATTCGAGAACCTGCACATACAATGGGTCGAGGAGGAAAACGTGTAAGTCAATCCAAAAACATAGTCAATGGCCATCTAACATAATTAGGGTGGTCGTGGTGGTCGAGGCCGCGGTCGCGGGGGAGGGGATCGTCGCGGGGAGGACAATCGAGTTAGCTTTGAGAAAGTCCCTAAGCACAACGAGCGCCTTGAAGGATATTACAATGATGTACTCGGTCTTCCAGAGGAGGAGCATAAGGAGTTCTGGGATGCATACAAGAGAGAATTACCCAACAGTTTCCGTTTTACTGGGTCAAAAGGGTACGTCCCCAGGCGCAAGAAAAACTTTCATTTTGAATGCGCAAAGCTCCAAAATATTCCAATGGAGGGCCAATGGTATGCTGACTGATTTTATAGACACGCGCTAGCTGTTCAGACTCAATTGAAAGAACGCTACGTTCCTGAAATCTCCAAAATAACCCATTTCGATGATACACCAGTCGAACCACCGCAACCCGTCCCATGGTACCCAGATGAGCTCGCTTGGTGGATGACGACACCGAAGAATGTGATTCGCAAGTTTGCGCCCTTTGCCTCTTTCCAAAAATTCTTGGTTTCTGAAACTAGTGTTGGAAATATTAGTCGACAGGAGGTGGTTAGCATGATCCCCCCATTGGTGATGGACCTCCAACCTGGAATGACTGTGCTGGACATGTGTGCGGCACCCGGCAGTAAAGCTGCACAATTGCTGGAAATGGTACATAGAGGAGAAGAAGAACGCGTTCACAAAGTCCTTCGACACTTCGCAAAGGAGGATGGTCGAGAAGTGAGCCCGGGTCCCAAGGATGAGGTTTTGGATGATTCGGTTGATTCAAGCGACAATGGTAGAGCTACTGGTCTACTTATCGCCAACGATTCTGATTACAAGCGCAGTCATATGTTGATTCATCAACTGAAGCGATTGTCGTCTCCAAATTTGATTGTTACCAACCACGATGCTACCATGTACCCTTCAATCAAGCTCCCACCTACCCCAGACAACCCAGCCCACAATCGATATCTGAAGTTTGATAGAATTCTGGCTGATGTGCCTTGTTCTGGAGATGGAACATTGAGGAAGAATGTCAACTTATGGAAAGACTGGACGCCGGGAAACGCTATTGGTTTGCACATGACACAAGTTCGCATTCTAGTTCGATCGCTCCAGATGCTCAAGGTTGGAGGCCGTGTTGTCTATTCAACGTGCAGTATGAATCCCGTCGAGAACGAAGCAGTTATTTCAGCTGCGATTGAGAGATGTGGAGGGCTCCAGAAAGTCCAACTTCTTCCTACCGATGACCAGCTGCCACTTCTGAAAAGATACCCAGGTCTAAAGTCCTGGAAGGTCATGGACAAGTCTGGTAAAACCTGGTCGGATTTCGCGGAAGTGGAAAAGTCCCACGAAGAGAATGGATCAACATTCGCATCCGAGAAGCTTACTGCAAGCATGTTTGCACCTGCGCCATCCGAAAGCGAAATTCCATTTGAGAGATGTATGAGAGTGTATGCTCATCAACAAGATACTGGTGGATTTTTCATTTCAATCTTGGAGAAGATGTCTGAATTCAAGGCGAAGCCAGAAGCAGAATCGAAGAAGGGCGAACAAAAAGCTCCAATCACGGCCATTGTTAACGAGATTGAGTCAATGCCTCCACCTGTTGACGGTGGTAGTGTTGCCCCCAAAATCGAGTCTGCGGATGCTTTGACCGGTCCACCTGCCCCTGTGCCAACTGAACTTACACCAGTTGCACGTCAAAACCAGCCAGCTCCTTCTTCAGACTCTGTTCCCAATGGAAAGAAACGGTCTGTTGATGAGATGGACGGTTTAGAAATTGATGGTGTCCTATCAACAAAGAAGCTCAAGAAGATTGACGGCGAGGACGAGGTAGCCGAGCCAGATCAACCAGACCGACAAGTTCATTATCCTCCACCCCCAGGTGCGCATCTTGAGTTGAAGGAGGAAGTTGTGGATAGCCCAGATGCAATTGTTCAGCAACCTCAATTTCGTCAAAATCGAAATCGAAATGCCCAACAATTCGAGGAACCTTTCAAATATATTGCCGGCGACCATGCAGAAGTTCAGATTATCGAAAAGTTCTACGAACTGTCTCCACGATTCCCAAGAGATCGATTTCTAGTAAGAAATGCTGCTGGCGAGCCAGCCAAGACAATTTATTATACTTCGGCCCTCATCCGTGATATTCTCACTGAGAACGAAGGAAAGGGAATCAAATTCGTTCATGGCGGAGTCCGTATGTTTATGAAGCAAGACGTCCAAGGCGAAAGAGTCTGTAGATGGAGAATTCAGTCTGAAGGTATGCCAATCCTTGAAGGATACGTTGGTTCCGATCGCGTAGTACGACTTTACAAAAAGGAGACCCTTCGAAAACTCTTAATCGAGATGTTCCCTAAGGTCACAGACAATCACTGGAAGAATCTGGGAGAAATTGGTGAACGAGTTCGAGACATTGGAATGGGGTGTTGTGTTCTCCGAATTGAGCCTAGCGATGATGAAGACGGATTTCAAGAACGTATGGTTCTTCCCCTGTGGAGAAGTCTACATTCCTTGAACTTGATGTTGGCCAAGGAGGATCGAACAGCGATGTTGTTGAGAATTTTCAATGATACAACACCACTTGTCAATAGCTCGAAAAATGCCCAAGAGGGGAAGAAGGAAGTCAAGGAAGGAGACAAGGCTGAGGGAAAGGGGGAAGTGGAGACAGCAGAGGCTATTGCGACGGATGCATCGCCTTCGGAACCAGTAGTCGCTATAGATGTGGATGTCAAGAAGGACGTCATTAACACTGAAGCTGCCTAGCCCAAGCGAAGGAGGTGGTGGTGGTATGTAGTATCTCATAAAAATCTTTCCTTTTTTGAAAACTCGTGGGAGGGACTTCTTATTATGCATTGGCTAGTAGGTAGCTACATAGAAAATGCGAACCAGGAATGAAAATATGAAATGAGTCCTTGCTTTCCCTTGTCTCATTCTTCAACAAATCTAGTTATGGTCGAATTATTTAGGGGTACTGATGTAATCCTTTGCTAAACATTGTTTCAACACGCGGATCCTGTTGCCTCGTTAATTCTGTAAATGTGTTCTAGTGCTGTGCTGTGCTGTCTCTCATCGACGTTCTTGGAAATGATTTTGTTATAAGCGATGTACTGGAAGTTATATCGAGCTTCACATACCAATTGACATGAGTAGAATTAATTAGCTGGGAAATGACTTGTGACATCTCCGCTACGCTTGTGGTGGCTTACATGTAATTTTATTTTTACTTGCTAAAGTGCGCTTAAGATTGGATCAGAATCCCTAAAACGGCAGAGGATTAGTTACAGTACAATGTTACTCACATAGCACATCAGTCATTGGATATCAAGATTAATTTTACAGGTATATTGATTACTTGTTTATACTACTGCGTACATAAGTGGTTTGTTTTTTCCCCTCAGAAACTCTGGTAGTTAGCAGCCATTTAGTACCCCTTCTATGACCCTTTTCATGGCTCCTCGACCATTATACACTTGTCACATCGGCCAACTCCAGATCGATAGTTTTTTCCTTGTTCCTTTTTTTTGGCGTCTCTTTTTGCTTTTCCTTTCCCTTCCTTTTATACAAATCCTGCTACACAAATGCTATTCATCGCCAATAACAAAGTCCCCCAATATTGTATACAGTACCAGAGCCAACAAACAAAAGAAAAAGCTCATCAAACCCCACCACCACCCACCCACGCATCCCAATCAACAATTCAGATCAATCCATGAACATCAAACCAGACAACGCGCCCTCCAAAGAGAACTCACAGCCTAGTCCGCGAAAACCGAGATAATTGAATGATCCGATCGTCCCCATCCAGCTCCAGTCCCCCTCCCGAAATCCCAAACCGGACAACGTGCCCTCCAGAGAGAACTCACAGCCTAGTTCGCGGAAACCAAGCTTTTGTGGTGACTTTTGCAAAATGGGGATGAATGAAGGGATGGTGGCATGAGGGGAGGGGAATGAGAGGACAGTATGATTTAGCGCTCTAGTTGATGAGTAGCCCGCCTACCCATCCGACGCATGTGCAGAGCGGTGCAGCGACGGACAATGCAACTGGGACGGCTAAGAGTGCCCATGGCTGTTGTGTAGCCTGTGTTGTAAAGTCCAATCTCTCTCCAAGTAGGGCATCCGGTCCTAAGCTCATTCCTTCCACGCAAACTGGGGAGATAGCGGATTGGATTCCTGCGAAGGAGTTGAGAGAAGGCATGACGGTTTTATCTCGCCACTCTAGAGCACGAGTGAGGGGCGAGAAGTAGTCAGGGAGCTTTGGGAGAGGGAGGAGGGGAACGATGTTTTGGCCCTCGATTTGGGCGAGGGTGTCGGGGCTGAGAGGGGCGTCTTTGAGACCGAGAGAGGATATGATGGGAGTGAGTTTCTCGGGGAATGTGATGGAGAGGAGGAGGCTGAGTATGATGAATGTAGAAAGTAATCCGAGAATGATCATCTCTAAGAATCGAACATAGCGGAGGGCGGTGAGACAGCCTTTTTTGAAGCGGTTGCGGGAGACTTTGATGATGGTGTTCGGCTCTGGTTCCTGAAGAATTTCGGGTTCCTCAACGTGCTCATCCTCAGCGGTAGGCTCAATCTCGATGGTGGAGAGTGTGGAGATGCTCAACGAATTAGGATTCACCGTATGAGAATCTGTAGTCTGAACGACTTCGGGTTCCTCGACTTGCTCATCCTCCTCAGGAATGGGAATGGGCTCGGTATTGATGGTGGAGAGTGTGGAAAGGCTCAGAAAGTTGGGGTTGACCATGCGAGATTCTGGATTCTGAACAGCTTCGGGTTCCTCGACTTCCTCCTCAAGTACGGGTTCAATATCGATGGTCGACAGGGGCGTGGAGATGTTCAACACTTGGGGTTGAACGTAGCAAGACGAGACTCGTAAACACCCAATCTGGCGCGCACCTTGCTATATGAGTAGCCGGTAATAGCCTTCTGTCCTTGCATTTCCTCTTTTGACTTCTCCACCCTGAAACGCTCAAGACGTTCCTCCAAACCAGCCTTCTAGCCATCTCCCGTTCCCCCAAAGCCCGCTTCCTAGCCTGCTCCAACGATTTCGCCTGGATTTCAAGCATCAGAGTCTGTGAAGCGAGGCGTTCGTTCGCATGCTCAGCAGCAGCCTTCAATTCCCTAACTTGTTCGCGAAGATCAATAATAGACCTCTCTACCTCAGCCTGAGTTGCAAACAGCTCCCACTGCATACCAGTAGATCTGTCTAGCTTAGATGAAAGCGTCCCAACCCGCTTGGTTGTTTGGGAATATAACCAATGGAGGTTATCAAACTGGCTCTCCTTTTGCTCCAATGCGTCTTTTGTCGTCTTTAATTCCTCCTGTGATTTCTTCAGAGTAGTCTCCAGCTCGACAATGTGATTTGCATGGGTAATACGTTGCAAATTGGAGATTTCGCAGATTTCTTGTGAGGCCTTCAAGAATCCACCGAGCGTGTTTAGATCTGCTTCTGTTTAGGTCTTGTCGGCATGAAGGTGTTGGTTCTCCGCCGTGACATTGGTGACTTTGTCTTGCAGGGAGCTCGCCTCAAGTCTCAAATTTCAAGGATCTCTCCTTGGAGCTCGTAATTTGAAGGAGTTGCGCAGAGTTCGTGTCCAATAGGACTGTATTTTCCGCAGAGAGCTTCTTCATTTCGACTTGGCGGGAGCTTGTCTCACGCTCGAGGTTCAAGGAGCTCTCGTTCAAGCTCGTAAGTTGAAGGAGTTGCGCAGAGTACGTATCCAATAGGGCTTTATTCTCCGCAGAGAGCTTTGTAACTTCGGCTTGGAGGGAGCTTGCCTCACGCTCAAATTGCAAGGATCTCTCGCTAAATCTAGCAATTTCGAGGAGTTGCTTAGAGTTCGTGTCCGATAGGGCTGCGTTTTCCGCAGAGAGCTCTGCAACTTCGGCTTGGAGGTAGCTAGAAGTGACATCCAGCTCAGCATTTGTGTCCGAAAGGGCTTTGCTTTCCGCAGAGAGCTTTGCAACTTCCGCTTCGAGGCTGCTAGTGGTACTCTCCAGCTCACCATTCTTCCCGTTGAGTCTCACAATCTCGGTCAAATACTCAGAGTTCGTGCCTTACATTGTTTGAATGTCCACAGAGAGCTTCTTTACTTCTGCTTGGAGGCTGCTAGAGGTACTATCCAGCTCCGTATTCTTGCCTTTGAGGCTCGCAATCTCATTCAAATACTCGGATTTGGTGCCTTCCAGGATTTGGATGTTATTAGTGAGCTCAAAAGCTTGGCCTTGAAGCTTTGCAACAACGGCTTGGAGGTTGCTGGAATTGTACTCCAGCTCAGCAGTTTTGCCTTTGAGACCCGAAATCTCAGACAAATGCTCCGAGTTAGTGCCCTCGAGGGTTTTAATGTCTGTAGTAAGATCCAAAGCCTGGCCTTGAAGCGTCGCAACTTCGGCTTGGAGGTTGCTAGAATTGCGCTCCAGCTGAGCATTCTTGTCCTTGAGACTCGTGATATCGATCAAACGCTCTGAACTAGTGGCTTCAAGGGTTTGATAGTCCACAGTGAGCTCCAAATCTTGGCCACGAAGTTGTGCGATTTCGCCTTGAAGGTTGCAAATATCCTTCTCAAGTTCCTGCTCAACATCCTTGAGTGCCACAATCTCAAAAGCATAGTCCTACTCGTTGTCCTCGTGAACCGCGATTTTGGCTTCAAGCGCCTTTTCGTCCTCCTTTCGCTTCTTTGCACAATCCTCCATCCATTTAATATGCTTGTCTTTTCTCTCCTCCAAGTCCTTATAGTTCTTAATTTGGCCGTCTCGTTCGCCCTTCCACACACCAAGCTTGTGTTTATATTCCTCCTCCTTTGCCGCAAGACGCTCCTCTTTGTCAGATAGCTGGAGTAAAGCAGTGTCTCTCTCCTCGATGGCCTGCTCTTTCTCCATGTTGGATTGTTCGCAGGTTTTGCAGGAAGCAGGCTGCTCTTGAACTCGGGCAGCCGTAGCAAGAGGAGTAATTTTTGCGACTGGATCGAGGGGAGCGATGGGAACAAGGGTAGCGATGGGTGCAACATAATGTTCTCGCTTAGGTTCCTCCTGTGCCGTGTTCAGGGGTTGCTCGCTTAAAGTCGCTGGTGGGGCTTCCGGCTTTGGTGTAGCCCATCTCGACGAGCTCATTGGGTGCTCAGTTAGAGCTGCAGGTGGATTCTGCGGCTCTGTTCGAGCCCATCTTGATGAGGTAAGGTTATTGCGTTGCTGCTGGGTTTGTGCTGGTAAAGGGTATGAGGGAGGGGCCGGAGTATAGAGCGGTCGCGTATTCACCACAGAAGTATCCGGTGCACCTGGCTGCAACGTGGGTACGTTAGGTGATGTAGAGGGGTTTGTGCTCGCAAAGAAATACTGGGGAGCCATACAGGCCGGAACCATGGGCTTATACTCGATGGCGTTGGGATCCTCCATGGGCTCAAACGCCATGGCGTTAGGATTCATGGTTGACTGAAGAAGTTCTCGAAGGTGTCAGCGTTTGGAGAATACATAGACGGCTGATCCAAGTTTATCTGGTAGATGCTTAAGTACTTACTGCCGCAGGCGCCAGCAGAGCGGGCTCCAGGTGTGAAAGTGATCGAGGGATGAGTAGAGGTACTATTGGCGTGTTGGATAGTGGATGGTGGATGATGTGTGGTGGAAGGTGGAAGGTGGATGGTTGATGGCGGTGGGAGTTTGTAGGGTAAGAAGAGTTGGAAGCAAGTCGAGGCCTGAGATATTTGTATCCCCCAGAAGACGCGATGGCTGTCACCGGAAAGCGGGGTAAATGATATTCACTATTACTCTGAGCCCAGATATTTCGTGTCTGGTATGAGGTGGCAGGGAGGTTGATATTCACTCTTCCTTGGTAAGGAGTGGCAAAGACGTGGTGAAAACGTGCAATAATTGGCCTTTCTCACGTTTTGGATATTGTGGAATTTATTAGCAACAAGGATGTTATATAATATAGCTCCTAGTTGAAAGGAAAGGCTGTAGATATTCTTAGTAGTAAACTCCATTCAAAGTATATAGTTATTTCAATAATATAGAATATTAGATTAATACTTAATTTGAATTGTTTAAATATTTAACTGTTCTCGAAGGGTTATTCTAATAGTTAACTGTATTCCCGTTACTTAATATTATTAGGCTAGAGAAATAAAATAATCCAAAGATATAATATATTTAAAGTACCTAATTTTCTTTAATTCTCGAAGGGTTATCTTAACTATTTAACGAAGTCTAGTTATTTAATATCCTCACTCTAGAGAAGTAGAATAACGTATTAGTATAGTATATTTAAAGTTCCTAAATATCTTTACATTCTCTAAGTATTACTTCAACTATTTAACGAATTCTACTTATTTAATATTCTTATCCTAGAGAACTAGAGAACTAGAATAGTTTAATAGTAAAATCTATCTAAAGTACTTAAATATATAAATATTCTAAACGGATTAATTAAATTATTAAACGATCTCTAGCTACTTATTATTCTTATTCGAAATAATAATAGTAAAAGAATAGATTACCTTTCCTGATACTAATAGAAAGGTATTTTATATAACGTGGTTTATCAGCGAGTCGATCATATCACCGAGTCGATCACTTTTCCTTGGTACTACCTCCTCAAACTTCAACACACGTTTTCTTCAACTATTTACCATGGAAATTCAAACTCAAGAAGCGCGAATTACTCTAGCTATCGAGGCTATTCGGTCGTCCAAAAAACTAAGCAAACGCTCTGCGGCAAAGATCTACAATGTACCATATACGACTCTTTCCGACAGAATGGCTGGCCGAACCTACCGCCCAGATTCTCAAGCCAATTGTCATAAGTTGACTGAGTTAGAAGAGGAAGTGATTATTCGGTATATACTGGATATGGATTCCAGAGGATTTGCGCCCCGGCTCGCTGGTGTAGAAGATATGGCTAATTTTATCCTTGAATCGCGGGGGGGAAGACGCGTCGGCAAGCTCTGGGCCCATCGATTCGTACAACGACAACCAGACCTTAAGACGCGTTTTAATCGCGTTTACGACTTCCAGAGGGCCTTATGCGAAGATCCTGACGTGCTAGGCGCATGGTTCCGGCTAGTAGAGAATATGAGGGCGAAATATGGGGTTACAGACTCCGACTTCTACAACTTCGACGAGACAGGCTTTATGATGGGTGTTATTTGTCCTAGAATGGTTGTTACTCGTGCAGACCGACGTGGTAGAGGCAAGGCAGTTCAGCCAGGCAATCGGGAATGGGCTACAGCAATTGCCTGTATTAATGGGGAGGGCTGGAGTATTCCTCCATTCTTGGTAGTTCAGGGCAAGAACCATCTCTCCAACTGGTATACCGACGGCGGCCTCCCACCTAACTGGGTTATGAAACCGACAAGCAATGGTTGGACAAATAATGAAACAGGCCTGGAATGGTTAAAGCACTTTGATAAACACACTACAGCTCGTGCAAAGGGTCTGTATCGAATACTAGTTTTGGATGGGCACGAGAGTCATGAATCGGCTGAGTTCCAAGACTACTGTACGAAACACAACATTATTACTCTTGGACTACCTCCTCATTCATCCCATCTAACCCAGCCACTTGATGTTGGGTGCTATAGTGTGTTAAAACGAGCGTATGGTCGGCAGATTGAGACGTTTATCAAGGCCCATATCAACCATATTACAAAGGTTGAGTTCTTTCTAGCCTTTACAGCAGCATACAAGGAAACAATGACAGTCCTAAACTGTCAGTCTGGATTCCGCGGAGCTGGCCTAGTACCATTTAACCCGCAAGCAGTGCTTTCAAAGCTTGACGTAAGGTTACGGACTCCAACTCCCCCTCGGACGTGTAGTGCCAACTCCCTCCCCTGGGTGTCCCAGACCCCTTCCAACCCAACTGAAGCCCTTTCACAATCAACTCTTGTACGAAATCGTATAGCCTGTCATCAAGGAAGCTCGCCAACTCCACTTTTTCAAACAGTTGCTGCGTTAGCAAAGGGTACAGAGCGAATGGCACATGAGATGACCCTTTTGTCTGCTGAGGTCCGTACCCTTCGCGCTGCAAATGAAGCCCTAAGTAAACGCCGTAGGGCTAAAAAGACTCGTGTCCGCCAAGGAGGGGCACTTATAGTAGAGGATGTACAGGATATGTTAGCTCAGGAGGATGTACAGGATATGTTAGCTCAGAAGGATGTAGATGAGCAAGTACGACGCGACATGCGTGAGGCGGGGGTTGGTTATAAGGAGGGGCAACCTTCTAGGCGGCGCTGTAGAACTTGTGGAAAAGCTGGTCATAACGCGCGAACTTGTCAAGAAGTTATAGATATATCTAGTTCGTCAGATATAGAGAGCGATAATTAATTTAATATATTGTGGTTGATTTATTTAGGTGTAAAGTTCTGTGCCAAGAAAAAGTGATCGACTCGGTGATATGATCGACTCGCTGATAAACCACGTTAAGTTAACTTTAATATTCTAATAAAATTATTATTATAATCTTTATAATTAACCTTTTATATAGTATAATAAGGCTAAGACGATATTAACCCTAGTAATTTTTAATTCGACTCCGTTACTATAGAAATTATCGGAGTATTATATCTTCGACTCTAATAAACAAGACGGTTACTACTAGGATAAGACGCCTAATAGTTTAGTTATATTTTATACCGCTCGGAATAATTTCTTGTTGGAGCGAAACATTAGGATTATGATTCTAAGGTAATTCTCGACGAACGACCTATGATACCCGCTAATTTAAAACTACCTCTATTCGAATATTCTATAGTACTAGTGTAATAGTTAGATATAGTAGAATATTTAGATATATTAGAACAGTTAAATATAGTAGAACAGTTAAATATAGTAGAACAGTTAAATATAGTAGAACAGTTAAATATAGTAGAACAGTTAAATATAGTAAGTTATAAGATAATTCTATAATAAAAAGATAAATCGAGAGAGTATAAGTAAACAGAAGGAGCTATATTAACTAGAACAAGCTATTTAAATTATTATTAGGGTATAGGGGCGAGCTATTTTAATAGCGATAGTACGATACCCTTCGTATAAATACGTAGGAGCTACTTACGAAAATACTTACTTATTTTATATCTCGGTTTATATTCTACCTCGCTTTCCCTAGTAAGCTATAACCTACTACCGAGTAGTTATAAGTTACTCGTACTATATCTATAAAGGATAAGCGGTAGCCTTAAAAAGGTTCGATTTCGGGTTTATAGTAAATAGCCTTATATATCATAAACTCTACTACTGTGAGAGGCCAGACCTTGAACAACTCAAAGGTGAGGTTTCGAATGTTCAATTAAGAAGTGCGTGAAGACTACATACATGCAATCTCTTCCTCTATATATAGAGAGAGGAAGAGTTTCTGGAGTCTTCCAAGAAACTGTTTGACAAATACGTAACGTCAAAAGAATAGAGTAGAAAAGTGTAGAAAAGGAGAAACCAATTTAGCAGTGGAGCAATGGCCAATGCTGAGCGGGGACTTTGGTCAGTGCTTAGCGAGGGCATGGCCCGAGCCTCCATCATGGGTTCCAACCCTCACAACTACGGGTAAATAGGAGTAATTATAAATACTTAAGTACTTCTACCCCGAGGAGTTCTCTACTTCGCTCCTTGCGAATAACCGGACGTGTTTTAACTATCGAGGGTAACTAAGTAAGATTATATATATCGTTTGATTTATTCGATTACTTGTCTATAATAATAACAAATTAACTAATTATTATTATACGCTTATAAAGAGGAGTTTCTTCTTGAAAATCTAGTCTTTCGTTAGTTATAGAGTTACGAAAGATTCTTTTTTAGGGAGTAATGCGATAAACGATAATTCGATAATATAACTAGTACTAGTTCAGGAAGTTGAACGTAGGCGGGGAAACTACTACTACTAATAATACTACTACTACTACTAATACTACTCCTAGTATCATAATAACAACAACTACCATTGTAGGATTAATTAAGGATAGTTAAATATAACTTACAAGTGCCTCAGGGGCTGTTTAACACAAATAATATATTCCCTACCCCGTACTAAAACTGACTATAAGCGAATAATTATTAATTTATCTTTATATTCACGTCTATCCTACTTAGTACTCACAAGAAAAAAAAAGACACATGCATAAGACTAGCACATAGGGCTTAGAATGCTCTCGGCTACTATACGATCTTTCTATTCCTATATATCCCCAAAAACAGAAACGAAAAGGCTAGCCTTTTGTTGTTACCTTACGTACTAATAAATACATTACTAATGCCAATGGTGGTATATAAATAGGCGTGATAGCGGGCCAGTAAAAGAGATCCCGAAGGCTTTAGTATACGTATTATACTCTCGGGTAGGAAAGTGAGATAGTGCGAAGACTTATTCACTTCTATCGACACCATTATACTCGAGTAATATATTCTTTCTGGGTAGCCGCTCGTGATAGAATCGTAAGTAGACTACAAAAGCCAGACGCGCAACTCTAACTAAAAATATAATTACGGTCTCGGAGATAGATTCTCCCATCTCTAACCTACTCACACCCAACAACCCTCCTAACCACCCCCAATCCCAAAACTCCTACCCTACCCCACACCTATTCACTAACCCAGCAACCCCCTACCTATTCACAACTCCACCATACCACCACTTCACAGCCACCAAGACAACCCACGCCCTACCTCAATCGCTCATACCCCAACAACCACGCTCCCGTCGCAAAATCGAAGCACCTTACCCAGCATCCCTAACCCATCCAAAAAGTCGTACAATTCGGCACTCTTTATCAGCACATGCCGATATCCACGTAACTGTAAACTCTAAAGAGGTGTTCAGACAGGTCTAAAATGTATATATCGGAATGTATGTAACGTATCTATACGAAAGCGAGTCTAATACAATGTAAATCCCTATCCTTATCCCTTAAAAGACCCTGAACCGATATTAGTACAACCTACATAACACCCCTTATCCAATATCCATCCCAAAACCTCAAATCCCAACCTCCTTCAAATCCTATCCATCCCACTCCTTTCTCCTTTCCATCCTCCATCCTCCTTGTACACTTCCACGCTCCCTCCACCTTCAACACCTCATCCTTCATCCTCCTTCAACACCTCATCCTCCATCCTCCTTCCACACCTCAAACCCCCTCCCCCTTCCACCCCCTCCCATCCTTGATCCAAAATAAAAAATGTAAAATCCAGACTCCCTTCTGCCCGAATACCATATCATATTTAGTCTTATTCATTCCTTCATTAATAACTAATACACTTAATAAAAAGGGGGAAGGGTAGGGGGGGGAGAGGTTCATACTTTACTTGTGTTGTAATAGAAAATTCTCGACTGGGGATATGAATTGTTTTGAGCTGGTGGGTTGGTTGTACTTCGTTTTGGTGGAAGGGTTCTAAAGATTCATGGGAATAAATTTGCTTACTAGTACGTATACATACATGCATGTAACAGCCCTCACTTCGCGACGATGAACTCAGACTCCATATACGTGTGGTATGAATAATTCCCTGTACCATCATCAACCACCAAAGTAAATCCATGAGCCAGCAGTAAATCATTCTCAAATATTTCCACTGTCATTTTGACCGATTACAGAGAGCAAAGCTAAGCTAAAAAGCGACACTTCATCGGTAAAGTACCCTTTCATGAAATCCCATAATTCCCATACTGCCTTATTCCAGTAGAACAGAAGGCCCGAGCCCCAAGCGATGAAGAAATGCAATACATGATTTTCCAGCTTCCATCGATTATATCCACATGAAATCCATTATGCAACTCGTCTCCTCTTTCTCATACCATCCTGATCACCATCATCGATAGACTCCGTACTTGTAACTTCTTTCCAGAACTCCTCGACGCTCAATTTGCACCATTCCTCCACAATGGAATGAGCTCGTTCAAGAACTCGTACATCAGTCTCGCAACCGGGCCACTCAGGCCATGCTTCAACAAAGATCCAGGTCAGATTAGTGCTTCCTGGGACTCTGTCAGAATAAATGTTGCAGCCGAGGGCCTTAGATAGAGCGACCATTAGATTCATATCTTTGCTAATATGTCCAAACAACGAATCAACCACAGCGACATGGGGTGCTGGGGGGAGAGCGGAAGCATGGTCGTCTGTGGTAAGAGGAACTTGATCATCCAACACTTTTGATACGTACGGAGCATCAAGGGTAGGCTTGCCCGATGACGCATTGGAGCCTGTTGCAAAGGCTTGGGTTGGAGTCTGTGGCGCCTTCGATGATGATGCCGCAGTTCTTGTCGAAGATCCCCTTGTGTTTGGTTTGGGTACATCTGCCGAAAGATATTAGCCGAAATATTGCATGTAACATGTTATGATTATTGTGCACAATAATTATTTGACTCCATTTCCCACATTGAAATGCTTGATGTGCCACAAGACCGCGATTGGAAAAGAGGCAACTTACTAGTCAAAGTCTGCGTGGGAACAACAGGATTTCGGAAGGGATTTGGTGAGAAGCTAGCAACTGGTCCCTGTGTGGGTGCTTTGAGAATTGTAGACAAATCTTCCATTGTGAAATTTTCGGTAACGAACTTTTCTTTTTTGATAGGCAAAGCGTTCTTTTGACGTGTGCCAGGTACATCGGACGAGACTGGTTTTGCTTGTGCTTCTTTTTGGAGTTGTTGATGTTCCACCAAACCAATAGAGTAGGTGTAGTAGTCAAGAGAAGTTGCACCTGGGGCGTTGGATACAACGGGGGCTCGGTTGATGCGATTTGGGTAAGGTGAAATACCCGGAAACTCCTCCTTGGTCCCTGCGATTGAAAGATGAGCAACGTCGACGGGATCAATGGGTTCAAGCTTACAGAAGTGGTTCCATAGGGCTTTCTCGCAGTTGTACTGCTTGATATCTGTGTCGGGTTCAGGATCCTCAAATCGAGAACGCGCAACGTGATCGCAAATATGGTTAAACACCGCTCGCGGAATTCCAGCTGCGTGAGCCTTTTGTTCGATATGGTTGAGATGACTGACGTAATACTGATTTGGGCACTGTCCGGGAAAGAACTCGCCAGGCCCTGAAACACAGAAGTGCTCGTTAGCCCATTTCGCAACTGATGGGGACGCAAAGAAAGCGAGCAAACACTTACAAAGCTTTTTGAAAAGCGCTAGCTCGGCCTCGTATTGTTGAGTGTCCCATTCTTCGTTGGCGAAGTCTTTGGCCGCTTTGGTTTCAATGTTATGCCAGGTCAGCCAGAAAGTGCGGTTGGACTTGGCTTTATTATCTTCCTGATTATGGCGCTGTCGCATGCCTTCCAATTGAGAGACGTACGGCCGAAAGACGGGAAAGGGGTTCCTTGGAGGACGCCATGGTGTTGGCTTTCTGCGTTGGTTTGTAGAGTCCATTTTGCCTTGAAGTTGGAGAGAGTCTTCTCTACGGGTGTATGTTGGGTGTCAGACAGACGTGGTGCAGGAGAGGAGAGCCCGAGATCGACGGGGATCGACAAGGAGGATGAGTGGGAAGAAGGGAGGGTGGAAAGGTAGAGAGTTGAGATGTGTCAGTGGAGAGGTGTTATGGTTGAGTACTCGTATAGGAAGTCTTGGCGTAGTGACGTTTAGCGACGCGAGGAAGGAGCTGGTGGGACAACGAAAGGAAAACAGAAGGAAGCACTCGCGGGTGTTCTGACCCGCGGAGATCGATCTCACCTACTTGTAACAGAAGCCAACTTCTCTTTCAAACTTGATCGAACGGGACGGAAACGGTGCACTTGAAAAACTTTGGTGATTCGTATGTAGAAATTAAAGAATGAGAGCGTACTTGTACTGTCCATATTTAGAGTGGAACAGTCCGAGTCGGTTGAGATACATAGAACAATCCATCTTTCGCCAAATTCATATCGTCTGTGTTGCCAAATATTCTCCCGATATCTTGTTCCACGCCCCATGCACCAAGCGTACGGGCGGCAACGAAAAGTGGAATCAGAGTGAGACGCATGGTGGTGGTATATCAATGAGGTTTTGGGGGGTTGCTTGGATATGTGGATGTGTGTGATATAGCAAGATGGGTGTTGGTGTTGTACTGTAAAAGGAAGGAGGGGAGGGCCAAAGTTGACTCTATATACTTCGTGCCAAGCCTATGAATTGTAGGTTTGCCAGGGCGGCTTTAGTGGAGAACAGGGTACAAGTCGTGCCAAAAGAACCAGTCACTTGTCGTGTATTTTGTATCTTTGATCGACCTGTCCCAATTTTGGGAAAGCTAAATGATTCTGACATAGTGGAGATGTGATGGAAGAAACAAAAGCTGAATCATAAATATCTATAGGGGAGAGTACAAAGCTAACGCCGTCCAAGGTCATCATCATTATCATACCCACAAAAGAGCGTTTCTCAAGAGCCCACAGTACTACCTTTACCATGGTTGTTCTTGACTAAGCCCTCAAAAACTCCGATGGTGTGTTCCCAGACAGTCTTCGAGGCCCCCTTCTCCCTGTATTCCTGCAATATCTTCTTTCCCGTAGACTCACCAGTATAATGAAGGATATACCCACCACTCCCAACCTTCTCATCTGCACCCTTCACGGTCGATAGCCCTTGTGGAGCCGGCACACCAGAAGAAAAAGCCGACCCATCAGCAGCTTTGCCAGGCGGATAGAGGGCACTGGTAGCCAAGAACAACTGTCGACTTCCCGTCTCCTCTGCGCTCGTGAAAAATGGCCACAGTAAGGGCGTCGCAGCCTTCAAAGCATAGCGCGCATACCATGGCAGGCCTCTGGAAAGTCCGGTATTTACCACGCCTGGATTTGAGTGTATATAGCTAACGGAGGGTTCTCGGCTTGCGAACTCGTTCGTCATGAAGTCGTTCATTACTATTGTGTGGTTTGCGCATCGCATGCCCGAGTATTCCTTCTCCAAATCGAGATCTTCGAAGTTCACTACCCCCTCGGCGCCGGAACCAAGGATGCTGAGTGAGCGTGCGAAGTTGGGAGTGGATGCTGTTGCGTTTTGGAGGAGGGGATTGAGGTTGTAAATGAAGCGCATTCGACCATAGAAGTTTAGGGTCATTTTGCGATCCAGCCCCTCGGGATTTTCTGGGATTAAGAATCAGCATTTGAACTCTCGGCATAAGATTGCAAACTGAGATAGGAGATAGCCAAAAACCTGTTACCTTGTCTTCCAGCCAAAGAGAAATTCCCCTGGCTCTGTACCAACAGATTGATCTTCTTCTCCCTCTTCTGAATCTCCTTACACACGCGGTCCACCTCATTCAATTCTGAAACATCTGCCCGTAAGAATTCGACTTTCCCGTCCTTGTTCAGACCCTCGCATTCTTTGATGATTCGTTCTGCGGCTGGTGCTGATCTGCCAACAAGATATACTCTTGGGGAGACCGTATCTTTCACAAACGTCTTGAGTGTGAACGCGCCAATCCCGCTGGTTCCTCCAACTATAATCTGTTAGCACTTGTTCGAATGACACTGGAAGCATAGCATACCAAAGAGAGCTACCAGACCAGGGCCCAACTCGCGAAGTTGAGCGTTCGAAGCGTTGACAAGATCAAGAGCTACCATTGTGGGACTACGTAAAGTTAATGAAGATGAGTGTTAGTATTTTTAGTAAGAGCATTTCTCTTTTCAAGGCGATGGCGCCTTGAGTTTCTTTTTAGCAAATTTGGTGGTGGATCAGGTCACCAGAGATGTCGTCGTTGTAAGACGGAGGGTCGGATATAACTCCTAAGCCCCAGCCACCATGGCAACCTTAATTCAACCGCAGGTGCTCTGACGAGAAATGTGGTGTTTTCGCAAAACATGGGAAATTTCCAACAAAACTATATGAGCGAATATTTATTATAAGGATTCTTTATTGGGGTCTCTCCATTCTTGTTTGCAATCTGCCGTCTGAAAGTTTTCGTGGTTGTGGTGCTGTTCTCAATTAAGCCTTGTAAATAGCACTCGATCTTCAGTCCGACTGAAAAGAGCATATTCTCACCATCTCGCCACCTTTCAAATTCACAAGAAGCGATTGGTCTGCTGCTTGTGCACCGTGCCCAGTAGACGTTAGAGCTCTGATTAGACAAAGAGAATGTAACACAAACCGATCTCAGCAAACTCCCATAGGACGTTCCGTTGGAAGTCCTGTTGGGTGTCACAGACAGCCTAATGAACAAAGCCTCATTGTCCATTCAGACCCAGTTGGCCTGGGAGTCACTATGTGGCAGCTTCTCAAGTATAAACTCCTGCAATTGTTAGCAGTTTCGATGGCCACAATATTGGAACCAGTTCGCTTCTTAAATTCTCAACCACCAAAAATGGATTGCAAACATCATACTTCCCGAATCTTCGATACCATAACCTCAAAATCTTTCTTTCAAAGCAGCGATGAGGAAGTCTTGCGCCTCATCCTCGATCAGTTCTCTCCAGAACTCGAACGTCTCAAGCGGGCAACCTCTATCCCCAACAAGCTTGCCATCAAGCCCACAACACCGTCGCCTCCCAGATTCTGTATGGACTTGACTATGATGAAGTCAACCCGACACTTGTGGGCATACTTTCTCGCCGATGGTTGCATAATCGGGATTATCAAACCTTTGTGGGATCGCAAGAAGAAATTGTCAAGCTGTCAAAAGCGTCGTTCGAGTGGTTGTGTGAACTTTTCGAAGAAGGAATTACTTCTGACACCGACCTCGACTACCTCGTAACCTCGATGGTCATAAATGACCTCGGGAAAGACCCCCAACTAGCCAAGGACTACGAAGCCCAGACTGGCGAGGACACCACTGGTTCAAACCATGATATGATCCTTCACAAAGCTGTGGGTTCCGGCCTTGTGGGCTGTCTAGATCGTCTGAGCAACGCGAATAGGCTGGATGTTGTCCGAAGTCTCGAATTGGGAGCCGAGTTCAATTTTGGTCAACTGGCCCAAGCAGAAAACGTCCTTGAATCTCTATCGGGGCTTCTGGGTTTCAAGCAGAATGATCGCATGTTCGAGTTTCGGTTCATGGAGCAGATTCTTGATCTTTCGGGTGCTGCTGGACATACGGATTGGACATGTGCGAAGAAGACGAACGAGCCAATCTTCCAAGCCTATCAGAAGGTTTTTGATGTTGCCAATTGTGTAATATATGGTAAGCTTGGATTGCGACCAGCATACGATCTCATATTGATCCGTCGTGCTGAGTTGCTTCATGGAGTAGGATTTCGGAAGCTCGATGTTGGTGATGTTCATGATAGGGCGTTGATGCGATTTCTTTGCATGGGTGGAGTTGTAGACTTGACAACCGCAATCTTTACAACAAGGCATGGCTCGCTATTGATAGGAATATCAGAGAGGATCTGGTTGCAAGGCTCAATCTAGACGGGCGAGCGTGGCAGACCGGCTGTGCAAGCAACATACTTTCCTGCCCTCCTCAGCAAAGCATTGGATAGCGTTCGTTCGACCACCGATGAAGATAGGATAGAAACACTGCAGAGTTGCCTTCGATATTTGCGACGTGTGCTTCAGATAGATGAGCCCATCGAGGACGATCATATTGTTGTGGTCAAACGGGATCTCTTGCGCGTAGTGAATGATGTTGACCCTACTGTTCCCGATATACTGGATAGTGTTCGTGTGCCGGAATGGGAAGTAGCAAAGCTTTGGAAGTTCATATAAATTTCTCTCAATAGATCATATCGTTACCTAGTTAAGATTTTTCAAGTGGACATGTATTTACTAAGTTATCGTGCTTATGGATAGCCCTAGCAGCCGGAACAGGCTTAGCTCCAGGGCCAGTCGGGTGTTCTGCTGTTCTTGCCGCTCGTCATAGCCCTCTATATGAAGACATGCCTCCAAACGTGCCTCCCAAACTTTCCTCCAACAACAACCTCGCCCTCCAACAACCACCTCACCCTCCAGCAACAACCTCACCCTCCAATGACAACCTCAACCTCAAGTAACAACCTCAAGCTCAAGTAACATGGAATCAACCTCGTCCTCGCAAGCGCGGATCACCGTGGCTGCAGCACACGATAGGCTTCGACAGCTTCTCGATGATATGCAAATGCAACAGGAAGAAAATCAAGATGAACACCTTTTTCGTCCGAATTGGCGAGCCGCAGAAAGGGCATTGCATAGTAAGAATTACAAGCCATACAAGCAGTTCCACGAATTCTTCGATCAACCAAGATATGCAAAACCACGCCAAGAACGCAAAGCTGCTTTGAATTCCATGATCGAAGAACTGCGGCATACATTTGAACGTGCTGAGATGGATCAAAAGACCGACTTAGCAATTGAGTTCGCTCGTCAACGTCGCGTATGTCTCCCGCACTAATTCACAGCCTCAGACTAATCATCATAGATTCATGGTAGTGATAATGTGGAAAGCAAAATGGTGCCAGCATACGTTTTTCACAAGTTTCCGGAACTGCCTCTTGAACTACAACGGAAGGTTTGGTCTTTTGCAGCCCGACTCTCGGATCCAAGGGTATACATCCTCGAGGATCTGACTTGCGATAAGTGGGGTCTTCCTGGTTTTCGACAACTTGTGACCATATCTTAACCTCAAGAGAAGCTTTGGTGCCAAAAAAAGCCGGCTCACTCCTACGCCCTTGACCGCCCGATCCCAACCCTTTTACACGCATGCAAATTATCACGAACCGTCTGCCTAGAGGTATTCCATGTATTCTTTTGGAATACCCACGCGCCTCCGAAGACGCGCCCCGCATGCTTCAATACCGACTACGGTATCTTTCACATCAAAAGGTGCGAGGACATTTCGTGGTCTCATAGCACAAAACCTCGTTTCTCGGTAACTCTACAAACCCTCATCCTAAAACTTGAACTTGGATCTCTGAGTGGCAAGGTGGGAGACATACTTGAAGCGAACTTCAATGACCTGCAGCGCATTCGACACATGAGTGTCCCTGTGGTCGTATTTGCCCAACTGCCTTCAGAGATCTGGTCACTTTTGGGCAATTTGGAAACCCTTCAGATTGTCCTCTGCTTCAATGACTTCTATAACTATTCAAGATGTGAGGAGGAGTACGATGAAATTTGCTTCTTAGTTCCTCATCCTGAAAACCAATGCGGTCTAAGAGCAGCATGGGTCATGAAGAAGGTTACGCAGTCTCTTGCAACCGTTAAAACCAAATCACCGAAGTGGATTATACGAAAGATTGAGGTGGTTGTAGGAATGGAAGCACGTTCCAGGATCACCAAGGCCATCATCACGGACGAAGATGATGGGTCAAGTGAAGAGTTACATGACCTAGATTCAGAGTATAAGGCAAGGTGGCGGGATTGGAGAGCCGCTACTGCCGAGCCCAACTTTTTCAGCCAAGTCATCAAGAATTACAACTACCATAACCAAGGAATGAATGAGGGCGGCTGGGAGTAGCTATAAGGCTAGCGAGGGAGATGCATCTGAAGACAACTCAGATGCATTCGGCTTCGAAAGTATACGTAATACAACATCACCGGAGCAACATCCTCGTCTCCGATCCTCTTCCTCGATACCTCGCTCTCGATCACACTGGCCATAGCCTAAGTCGCAGAGCAATACGTCCTTGGGTTTTTTCTAGCTTTTCGCGACATCTTATCTATTGCCTTGCTAGGTCTCAAGTTGGTAATCCATCAAAGGATTTAACAAAATGCTGGTGGGGCACTGTGTTTACGGACTAAGGCGGACTTTTTACAATAATTCCACATAGCATAGCGAAGAAATAAAGCAATTTTCCTTCACTACTTTCGTTATCTCATTTCATCGTGCTAATTTCCTCGTAATCTTGGTTGTTACATATACGAAAATGCGAGCCCACCGTGAGGAAGCAGATACTAAGATCGATACCATGCCTCCCCGGATAGATGTATTCATTCCTTTATTATTCCAGAAGATCCGTATCTAAAGCATGAGAAGGCTCAATTTTGTGAAATGAGAACAATAGTTCGTCATCATATTACCGGCATAAACTTTCTGTTTCAACGTAAGCTACTACGTTTAGTTGTGTATAGAAAACGACAAACGTAAACTCATACCTTAGAATAACTTCCATCAAATAAAAGAACAGGCAAGTCCCATGAGTGGTGAGCCTCTTTGCCACGATATATTGGTACACATAGAAACAGTAAGATGATGCGAAAACTACTTGCCTACGAGGCTACGAAATTCCGATGTTGCTAAGTGTGATTATCATTGTAATGAGTAACCAGGCTGCTGACTATTAGCGATAAATTTTCAGAATACAGAGAAATACAGGGTACTCGTACTCTTATCCCAACCAAACTTCTTGGAGGCCTGACCGTTGAGTAGATCGAGTGAGCAGAAGAGGATGGCCAAATCACTATTGCAATACCGGGATCGAGAACTAGATAGTTGTTCGAGGCGCGAGCTATGAAGGTTTATTGGGAAGCAGGCCGTAGTACACTTACCTGTATATTGGAGAGGTCTAGCCCTGAAGGCAGTTGTGGGATCATGGTTTTAGTTGAATGTGCCTAGAGTGCGATTTTTGAGATGTGTGATCAGTATAGAGAGAGTTTGATGACGTGGAAGATGTAAGGGTTGGATTGTTGAAGGAACGGTGCATAGGAGAACCGGTGAGGATCTATGGCAAAGTCAAAGTATGGGGCTCAACTGGCCATGTTACAGGATACACCTGCAGCTGTTTCCAATTTAGGTCGATCCAACATGCACTCATTAGGCAAAAGACCCTGGATGTCGATCAATCATCACTGTGTTGCACGATGAGGGAGAGATCTCAACCCGAAGTCTGCTTAAACATTTGTATTTCTCCGTTGAAGCGACGTACAACTATTCCCGCCCCCGATCTGCTCCAATTGCACCATTGGGTATCTCCTACAAGAAAAGAAAAGAAAAGAAAAGAGAATGAAAAAACAATAATAAAAAACGCTACGCCCATGTACAAAAGAATAGCACATCCAACCTAACCATACACCCCCATCCGAGATACTGCACCAACGACATGAACAAACCTCCAACCCTGCGATTGACCAGAACACATAGATAAGTGTACCCAAAGGCATTCTTAACACGCATCCGGCGAGATTCAAGAACAAGGGAGAAGAAAGCCCACACCGAAACCCCCACCCAGAAACCAGGTTTCATTCTCGACCAAAGTCATTACTACGAGTTAAGGGTACCCGAAGGCATCCTTAAGCCGCGGCAGACGAGGTACGAAAATATTAAAACGAGGTTTAACCAAGCAGGGTTAAATGGTCAGAAGAAAGGACGGGATGGAGGGAGTAAGGAAGGGAGGAGTGTACAAACCAAACCGTGGCCCCGGCCAAATAACTAATTTACATGATTGGCGCCAAATTCTCTCCAGAGCAAATTCGCCAAAACAACGAAGTTCTCACCAAAGGTCGGTGGGGGGGTCCAATCCCGGCCGATGCTCATCGCTTCCTTCAGATAAATTGGCTGCACCGCGGCTTGGAGCCGGGAGATTGCCGCGAGCGAAGGAACGGGAGGCGGCTCGATCGAAGGGACGGGAGGCGGGGCGAAATAGTTGGCAATGGTGTTGTAGATGAGGGGAGCCACAAAGACACCGAAACCGACAGACAAGAGGAAGGACACGAAGAGAAACACATATTTGATATGGCTATATCTCTTGTTGAGTTGAACCAATGCTGCTTGATGATTGACGGTGTTGGACTCCATTGTGGACTGGGCGTCTGCAAGTTCAGTGGTCAATTGTAGGTTTTTGGTCGACAGGGTTACGATTTCGCTGGTTTGGGATGTGATAGTTCCGTTCATTGCCGTAATGTTTGTTGTCAATGAACCCTTCTCCCGCTCCAAGTCGTTGATCTTCTCCACCAAGTCCGTCTTTACAGACTCCAAAGTCTCAATATTTTGGACATGAGCCCTGATCTCAAGACCCATAGCCCCCTTAACATCATCCATCTCCGTCTTCAAAGTCGTGAAATTTGCTCTCGCATCTTCCAAAGAAGCCTCGAAGACACCAACTTTCTCCTTTTCATTGTCCAATTCCTCCGATACACCAAAAAGCTCCTCGCCCATGCCCTCTACCATCTTGTCAGACTCCTTCTTTTCCTCTGCGAGTTTGGCAATTTCAGCTTCGAGGGATTTGATTTGGTCGTTTCTCTTCTTGATGGTACCCTCGTGTTGCTGGATTTTGATGGACTGGTTGCGAATTTTGGCGTTCTTTTCCTCCACTTCAAAGTTCTTTTCGCGGATCTTTGCATGGAGTTCGTTGATGGTATCCCGTGCTTCCCGGAGCTGGGCGCTGATATTGGCCTTTTCGGCCCGAAGGGTCTCGCATTGGTTGCAGGCCATTGTGATGTGTGGTGTGGTGGTGGTGGTTGGTTGGTTGGCTGGTGGTGATGGTGGTGGTGGTGGTTTTTGTTGTGTAGGAGGCTAGAAAAAAAAGTTGTGAGAAGCTCGAGAAGACGAGAATATATCTGCAGACGTTTGCGCTAGGGTAGCGAGCGTTAGCGCGTGTTCACGTGCGAGGCTTTGAGGCTGTGCTAGGAAAAACTTTTCATTGGGTAGTTGTAAGTGAGAGGTGAATTAGAAGTTATTGTATTCACCATTGACAAGCGAAGTGAAGCGAGGTATTCTGTCACGTGACATTGTTTTTCTTCGACCGTTGCCATTTTCAAGGTAGTTTTTCAGTTCATAGAATGATTCGCGTAAGATAGCTAGCTTTCTTCAGGATTTTGAAATGGTTAGAATAATAGAAATTCTATAGTAGAATACTCTAAGTAGTTATATAGGTATTTCTAAAATATTATATTATATTCTCTAACTTATATATTTCTATAACTAGTTAGTTAAAATTTTATATAGAAAAAGTAAAAATAGCTATTTTTAGCTTTAATAACCTTATTTATTATCTTAGACCTAGAGAGTACTTATAAAAATAATATAGATTAAAAATTTAATATTAAAAGTACTAGCTAAAGTATACTAGAAGTTTATCATAATAGTAGTTATTATACATTTTAATCTAGGATTCTTTGTTAAAAAGTTAATTTAGAGGCTATAGCTAAAAGAATTACTATTTTCTCTCAGACCCTTAAATAAAGGCTAGAGGTAGTAGCGGGCTAAGGGCGGGGTCGGTGCGAGGGGCCGGGTGTCACGAATCACGTTCTCACGTGATACTTGTCATAATAAAGAGGCGCAACCCTCGACAGGCACATCCAGGTTTCTTATAGCAAATAGGGATGCTGTAACGAATACTCAAACTGGCTAACTAAACTTGGCTGGGTGTTCGCTGGTTGGTATGCTATGATAAGAAGAAGACTATCGGGTTGTTCACTTGGAAGTGAACTCGTTACTTGTATCAAAGATGTCAAACTAATATGATAAGATTGATAACTAAGTTGAGCACGAAGCTCCTATCTAAAGGCAGAAGTGCCAGTCTTATATAGAACCTTCGTTCTCGTGGAGCCTACGGGGAGCCCAAGATCCTCAAGCTCCAACGCAAGCTCCTGCAAGCTCCAACGATCATGTGACCCTGTCACGTGATACTAACCGAATGAAATCCCTGGATCGCTTAGCTAGCCCAAGCGTCCCTATTTGCTATAAGAGTACTGATAGTGCTTGACCTTTCAGGACGCCGCCTGGTCTTCTCTTATCACGTGAACACGTGATTCGTGACAGATGCTTAGACTAGCTAAGCGATCCAGGGATTTCTCGTGTATGTAGTCACGTGATCAATCGCATCGCCTGTATCGATAGTCGATGTTACCGATAGGAGGTCGACTACATCGACAGGTGATGTAGGCGATGTAGAGAGAACGAAGGTTCTATATGTGACGGAGCTGGATTTCATTTGACAGGATTTCATTCGCTTGGCCAAGCACGTGACGANTTAGACTAGCTAAGCGATCCAGGGATTTCTCGTGTATGTAGTCACGTGATCAATCGCATCGCCTGTATCGATAGTCGATGTTACCGATAGGAGGTCGACTACATCGACAGGTGATGTAGGCGATGTAGAGAGAACGAAGGTTCTATATGTGACGGAGCTGGATTTCATTTGACAGGATTTCATTCGCTTGGCCAAGCACGTGACGAGACTTGGCATTGGAACAACTTAAATAACTTCGCTCCTTTCAGATTCTCTTCTCTCTTTAGTTTGATTTCTTCGTACCTACGGTTTTAGTTCTAGCAATTGATTCAAAAGCTGTATACACTTTATCCTTTGTTGGCATCCGTGACAATTACTTTAACCCTTCTTATAACTACTATTAAGTGCTAGGTGTACCGACACTAATCAGTGTTAGTATCACTAGCGAAGTGATAGGATACGGTATAACTTTATTTGGTTATATTACGTATGAGTTCTAAAGGAGAGTATGGTTTTCTAGCTAATATATGGAGTGTGTGCCATACTGTCTTAGACAGTGGCACGTGACCGTCCACCTTTCCACCCAAGACCTGATTGTACCGACAATATCTATATCTAAGTACGTACCAACTAACTGCGCCCCCTCTTCCCAAACCCACAAGACACCTCTAATTCCATCTATATAATCGTACTTTAAGAATTCAATCTCAGTTAGCATTATTAAAAAAAATCCTAGCGCTCGAAATGCATAATTTAGCGTAGAATAGTAACACCTGCCCATAGACATACACATACTCTATCCACCTCCCCTGATCCTTTTTATAAAGTACTGTACCTCAAGTACAATACCTACTCACCTCCTCTACCTACCAACAACCCACCAACTACCCAAACAATAAAGTATTTCCCTTCAAGCCCCCAACTCCAAACCCCAAATTCCAAACTTCGCACTTAGCACTTCGCACTCTGGTATTATAACAGAATAATAGAATAATACAGAGCCCTCAACCCTTTAGCGAAATACCAATATCTATCATCACGCTAATATACCACTCCAACCCCACTAACAATCAAATCAACCAACTCAACTCAACTCACCTCGCTTTACTTTATACCATCAAAACACAACAGTAAAACAAGAGTAAAACAAGTTAATAACTACCTACCAACCTACCTACCTACCCACCTACCTCCCATTCCATACTACTCCAAACCTCCACTCCCCCAGCCCACAATCATCAAACCCTCCCCATCTTCACAAAGAACCAAATCACTTACTTACACCAGTATCCGAAAAAAAAGAAAACCAAAAGTAGAGTGTGTATTGTATCATCATGAGCTAAAAAAGCGAACCCCTCCATCACCCCGGCAACATTTTTGATCCCTCCCTCCATCCCTTCCTTCCTTGCAAAAACACAAACAGGAATCCCAGGCCAAGAAAAAGAATCTCAGGCCAACAAAAGAAACCTCGCTAGAGCTTACGCCCATCTCAGCAAAAAATAAAAATGAAGCGAAGGACGCCATCGAAGATCTAAACCCCTAAAACACAACAACATTTTTGATACATCGAACAAAAGCGCATACAAACATCATAAGAAAAAGTCCCCCAAAATCTAATGTACACCCATTATACCATCCCTCCCCTCCATTCCTTCCTTTGCCCACCCTAATTCTTTTGGGGTGGATATATCGTTCGGTCGTGGCGGTCGTTTAAAATCGTTTTCTCTCTCGGAACGATTCCCTATCTCCACCATCTCTTCCAAATCCAGAGGATCGTCCTCTGCCACCAAATCCGCCTTGGTCTCTTCCTCCTCTGTCTCTTCCTCCTCTGTCTCCACCAAATCCGCCTTGGTCTCTTCCTCCTCTGTCTCTGCCTCCTCTGTCTCTGCCTCCTCTGTCTCCACCAAAGCCACCGCGATCTCTATCACGACCACCAAAGCCACCGCGATCTCTATCACGACCACCAAAGCCACCACGATCTCTGTCACGACCACCAACCCCACCTCGGCCTCCATCATCACCACTAAATCTACTCCCCGATCCGCCGCTTCTGCCAACATTCGAGGATCTAATACCTAATCTCGCCGCAAGAGCTGGTGAGACACTCGGTGGCTCTGCCCAGCCCCATCCAAACTTGGTCCATTGGTTCAATACCTCGATCCCTCTAGAAATACCTTTCATTTGGCCCAGTGCACCCATGTAAGCTGCATATTTCGTCTCTCGATCGACCATCTTAGTAGCATCCGAAATCTTGCTGATAATATCTGCCACAGACGCAGGTAGCTGGGCATCTTCGGTCATATCAACCTTTGCCATTTCGAGACTCAGATCTTCCTTAAGTGGAAGTCCTCGAAGCATATTATCGGCCATTCTGATTTCTGACTCGTGGATGAAAAGATATCCAACTCCCGCCTTATCTCCTCGACCAGTTCGACCGACTCGATGAACGTATTGATCGCGGTTGGAAGGTAAGCCGATTTGGATTACATGGCTGACATTTGGAAAATCCAATCCACGGGCAGTAACATCAGTTGAAAATAGAATAGCAGATTTGGCTCTTCGGAAGCGGTCAGAGGTATGTTGTCGTTGCCCCTGACTCAACTGGCCATGGATTTGGGAGAACTCTGCTGGATGCAGTGGCGATTTGCCAAATCGCCCACCACTCTGGTCGATCAAATTGTCAAAAATTCGGTATGAAAGTTGTACGTTGGCTGTAGACTGGAAGTAGATGATGGCCTTGAATGGCATTGCCTCTCCTTTTGCAGCTTTTTCAACCTCCCGTTTGCAGAACTCGAAAAGGCCCGGCATGAAATTCTCGTAACCAGGCATTGCTACGAGAAACTGTGGGACTTTCTCATGCGTGGCGAGCTCTCCTTCTTTCACAGTTTGTACGAAGTGGAAGCCGCGCTTTAATGTTCGTTTGACCAGATGCATAACCTCTCTAGGAACGGTGGCAGAGAACAGGAGGGTTTGTCGATCAACTTGTTCTCTATCAGGTAGAAGTTTCTGAATTTCGTCAATCGCCACCGAAAATCCATCGTCCAAAAGACGGTCAGCCTCATCCATCACCAAAGTTGTCAAATCGTTTGCTTCCACGCCACTTCGCGGATCGCTCAGTAAGTCATACAATCTGCCGGGTGTTCCAACAAGAATGTGACATCCCTCTCTGCGAGTCTTCATCAACATATCTCTCTTGCTGTTTCCACCAACTGCGACTTGAACAATCAAATCTGTGTCTTGACAGAGTTTCTGCGCTTCGACGGCAATCTGCTCAGCCAATTCACGGGTAGGTGATATGATGATGGCGCGGATATCTGAAGCGCGAGCTCGAGAGTACCTCTTTCGTACGGCGAGGTCAGGATTTCTCGCCAGAATGTTTTGCAAAGTTGGGACGAGGAAACCAAGGGTCTTTCCGGTTCCGGTACGAGCTTGTGCAATACTAAATACTATCAGTTTGGATTCTATCGAGTTTTGAAACCATCACAACGTACATATCTGCGCCTTGAAGGGCTTGATTGATGGTCATGGACTGGACCGAGGTCATGGTGTGATGGCCCATCCCCCTTGTAATTCGGTTGACGATATTTGGATGGACCAAGTCGTGCTGGAGCAACTCATTAAACTTGGTAATCTCATATGTCTGTTTTTCCTGTGGCGCGTGTTCTCTGGCCCCGGCCGCTTGACTTCTCAACATCGACGATACATGTAGCCATCTCGTCTCCACGAGCGGCCTCGCGGCAATGGATTTGGATGTGGATGTGGATGAGGTCCATTGAAGCGGCGAAGGTCTCGCAGACGAAATTCGGAAGGCTGAGGTTGTTGTTGCGGTGCGAAGGACTCGTGGTATCGAGGCAGGGCCTCTGCGGCATGCTGCGTTGAACATGATCTCCAGACGACGGCAGCTTCAATGAAAATCAATTTACTGAATGATACGAGTCAAATACACAGGTGACATGTAGTCAACGAGGAAAATTGAGATCTGCTGATGGCGATTGAATGCCGTTGTTGTTGTTGTTGTGGGATATTCAGAGTGCGAGGTGCCTCTGGGTCTCTCACGTCTATCAGCGGAAAAAAATCTACGATTTTCGATTTGCACTAACCTAACGCCGGGATAACCGCGGGAACAGACCTCTATCAGAACCCCCGTCCGTGGACCCCTGCCAGTTGCCACCCTCGGTCACGTGCACGCGTCTGTAACTGCACCCGACCTCGCCCGGGGTGCTGCACCACCTGCATCTCAGGTGGCTGAGACTCTGAGCATGAACAGTTGCCTCAACTCAAGCTCTGGCAAAGGCGTAGTTCTCGGAAAGGTATTTGTATGAATGATACGGATATTTGCGTACGGGTAATACAAATTCAATTAATGGAATTAAATAATCAAAAAAGAACATACGATCATCAATTAAATTAGCTACTCAAGAAAAGAACATATCATCATCAACTTCTACTCAATGGCAAATGCAAATCTATAAACAAAACCAAATCAAAATCAAATCAAAATCAAAATCAAAATCAAAATCAAATCAAAATCAAAATCAAAATCAAATCAGAATCAAATCAAAATCAAATCAAAATCAAATCAAAATCAGATCAAAATCAAAACTCATCCAGACTCAGGACGGCCCAATCGATCCAAACTCCTCCTTCCCAGGGTATTATGAAAACAAACTCCCACCGATAATCACTAATGGATGTCACATAAACCATACGCCAGCGTGGTCCCGTAACCTCGCTTTCATTTATTGTCCAAACCGGGCGTTCTCATCCCGCCCATCATGGCCATTCCTTCCCCAAGACCCTCATGTATCCCTCCTGACACACCTTCTACCAGCCATGTAGCGCTCTCGGTAATCAGCTCCCCAACTCTGCCATTCCCCATGCCATATATCGCACCCGTGACCGTCAGGCCACGTTTGCCAATTTCATCTACAGTGGTCACACCTTGAGTGAGAACCTTCTCCGTGATCTTATGTTGTCGATCATATCGATATGCCGATTGGAGAAAGTTCTTGATATGTGGGAAAATAAGTTGGAAAAATATGACCAGTTGAACGATCGTCGTGGCGAGGGTTCGATGAAGAAGAGATGGTTTTCGTTGCGGTAGTTTGAGACTGCCAGTGGCAGTATTGGGCATGCCTCCCTCCACGGCGAATCCCAACGGCTCAACCACGCCTTCGGGCAATGAGCTTCGCACACTCAGTTGCTCCTCGGTCGTCATGTCGTGTGGGAGTGCGCGAAGAAGGTAGGTGAGGGAGTGAATATACATTTGTCTTGCAAAGCTGGCGTTTCCAATGCCGCCAGTCTGGTGGCAGGCCGAGGACTCGCTGACGGCGTGGCCAAGAAGATTAAGGCCTATCAATGGATGTTAGAATGACCCAGTCACCACCAATGGAACCACTTACCCTGATTGGCATACTTCCACGATATGCCTGTACTATTTTCATGAAGTTGGATTTCTTCCGAGGAACTGGCTGCAACAGTGGTCATTTGTAATCCCTCATCATCCGAGTCGATGCTTGAACCATACTCTCCACCGAGATCATTCGATCGACCAAGTACCATGGCTGTCGTGTAGCCCATATCTGGAGTGTGGAAGCCCGTCGTTGGCGTTGGTGAAACCAAACTTTGTGACAATGCAATGCTGCTAACGGATCGACGGAGGGAGGAAAGTCGAGGAATTCGTGCTTGCAATGCTGAAGGCAGCATCGAGAAGAGCATGGAGGTAGACATGTTGCTCTGGACAATATCTGCGGATTGTGCTCGTATATGAGAGAAGGGAGTTCGACGTTGGCTTTGTTCCATGTTGGATAAGGTTAAGGGGTTGGGTGAGACGAAGTTTGCTGAAGTAGTAGTGAAGAGAAATGTGGCCGATTTTTTTTGTGAAATTGTGAATTGATATAGTACTGGGATTGCCTTTTCTCCGTAATATTATTGGAGCTCCTAGAAGTAGATGTCGTAATAATGAGGTAAAAAAAAAGAGGATCGTTCATGGACTCCAATTTTCGGCGGACATTTCGCGATGGTGCCTAGGGCCCGTGTAGCGGTAGAAAAGTGCCACTAACGGCAGACTAAAGGCGATATTCTGACAGAGATTCTCGGTCGAGTGGTACTTGTGCTAGTCTACAGTAGTTCTGGTGAAAATGGTCGAGCAGCGGAGCGATCCACCGACAGTAAGTCCAGCTGGTAACTTTTGGTAGATATTAATCATGTTTGAGGCCGCAAGCGAAGTTTGATGATAACAAAGCGGAAGACCACCTGCAGGGAGTTGAGTTTGGCATGTGAAGCTGACTAAGCTAAGTTCCCCCACTTCTGTATCGCCGTCTTTTCTTCTCACGCCTCCGCCCAACTTAGAGTCAACGTGGTGTTGTTTCAATGACTATTGGCCATTTATGACATAGATAGTTACACGCGTGGTGTGGTGGTGTAGGGAGTCAATTATACTAACACTTTGTTCCAGTCACGCGTTACCTACAGTAGGTAAGAAACTTCCCAGCTCCCGTCGCTTGCGAGTTCAAGGGTTGAAGGCGTGTTTTTGACGACATACTTATGTTTCTTTTATCACAAGTCACTCGGTAACCAGTGTATGAGTGAGGACACGTGTGGCTTCTAGATTCGAAATGACTATTTCTCGGTGCTTTCCGTCAAATACGACATTGCGCTTGTTTGGTGAAACAACACGAGACCAAGTACATTCGGTACAGACAGTACCTGGAACCGATCAGTGATCGTGTCAAGTGACAAGAAAACCATCTCCATACGCCTAGATTCGTTGTTGTCTCCAGCATCACAATAATGAATGTAAAGAATGTATTCCACCACAACCGCATTCCAATTCTCAGCCAGACAGCCAAACAATCCTGCCAACTCAAACAACCGCACGATACTTACCGAGCAACTCCTTTACTCGCTCAACCGGAAGTCCTGGTAATTCCATATCATTATACCCCCTTCTCCCATCTCTTCCAGCAATCATACTGTTCAAGATAGCCTCCTCTGTGACCTCGCTCGCGGCTCTGAATAAGGTATCCACGCTTCCATTCTTGATGATATCGATCGTATTGGTTTCTACCGGTACCACGCCCAGAACTTGTGGTGTCATGACACGCTCGACGGTTTTGTTTCCAGTTGAGATGGCGAGGATGATGTCTCCTGAGAAGTTACGACCGATTCCGTGGCCACCAACTATTTTCAGGAAAACATCTTAGCAAGCTTTCTCGTTTAATCTGGAATAGGAAATGGATTTCTACAAACCTTGGGCAAGACCGACAGCACAGTGTCTAGCCAAGCGATTGAGTTGATGAGGTAGCATCGGTGCATCAGTTCTATATTCTCATCAGTTCGCATCCCCACCTAGAAAGAAAACACTCACATCAAAACAATAACAATACTCCCATCATCCGCCTTTCCCTCCGCCTTACTCGCCCTCGCCTTAGGCGTCCCTATATCCCCCTCCTTCAACAACAACTTTCCTACCGGCACACCCGCAATCTGCAAATCATAGTTATGACCATAATTACTCTGCACCAAAACTCCCACAGTATACTCCTTCCCGCTCTCATCCCCCTTCACAGCCCTCGAACTCGTCCCAGTGCCGCCAGGAAACATATGGCAAGTCATCCCCGTACCACCACCATGCTGGCCTTCCAACACTTCCGTCTGTGTTTTCGCAGCTGTGAATGCAGCATGCACATTTTCCGGTGTCAGTGCAGACTTGAAGACGTCGTTCAACAACCAATCAGCCGTTTCGGCCACGACGGGTGTTCCGTAGTTATATGACATATCTGTGAGGTCCCTTCCTTTCTCTTGGGCTTGGGCGAGGGTCCATTCCCAGATTGTTTGAAAGACGATGCCGAAGCTTAGGGAATTCGTGAGGGCAATTGGCTATTTCACATTAGCCTTGTCAAAATTCAGGGAAGCGAATATGATTGTAGGAAGGCAAAGAAAGGAAAGATGACAAACGGTATTTGTATACCCCCAATCTTTAACCTGATAACTCCCACTAAGCTCCCCATTCCCATTGAGCGTGTGAATCGCCACATAGCACGGGATCTGGTTTTCATCTTCATGGCGAGGGAGGATGACAGTTACGCCATGTCGGACTTCATCACCGTCATCTCCTACTGTGACTTGTCCCACATGGACACCTGAAAACATCATTAGTAAATACCATCTTTCTACTTGTAACAATCTTTTTTTAAAAAAAGAAAGCAAGATATACATACCAGGAACATCAAGAATAGAATTCTTTGGTCCAGAAGGGAGGAGACCTGGGGTATAACCCAGATCACTGATCGCCATTCGTTTCGTTGCCATTTTGCCAGAATCACTTTTCTATTATCGTCGATATTGGAAGAAATCGATCCTCTTTCAAATCAATCAAATAACTCCTAAATTTCTAATCAACGAAATCCGATTTTATATAGATACATACAGTACATTTTATCACATCTATAGATCAGCATGCACTCCACAATTCTTCACTGGTAATCTTACCGTCAGTATACAACCACCAAACCCTTTACCCCGCTCTCGATGAATCCCCCGGCCTGACTTAACGACGCATCGATAAAACTTCCTTGATTTCCAAAAATCCTCTCGGACTAACGCCTCTAAGAGAAATTTGCTGACACGATATGCAGGTACATACAACCTTCCCCATTGAATCAAGCGCGTGCAGCGTGCTGGATCTTGGAATCTCACTGCAGTACTCATCCCGATCCTCTTTATGGGACTGTTGTAAGAACGCTTCATTTGTTCTTCTTGGAATATTTTGATGATGGACCAGGAATGTTTGGCTGACGAAAATGCAGGTACGAGTTTATGAGGTAACAACAATCAAGATCACGATGTTTTAATTTGTTACGAGTCGTGTTCTTAGTTGAAACTGCGAGGGAGGATTTAAGAACTAGGGACACTCAAGTAGGTAGCTAGGGAGTTCCATCTGAAGATATAAAGATGGAAAGAGCGGCCTCATATCAACAACCAGTCTTGAACTAGGTTCGAACTGAAAGGAACGGGACCTTCACCATCTCGTGCCTGCCTATATCGCTACACTAGACTTCCCGTCGCGCCTCCCTATATTTCGACCACAAACTCGGCTTGGCGTTGAATGGGCCCTCGACTCTCACAATCTCATCGTGGCCCTAGATCGCAAGTGTGCCCTATGTCTGTGCTACTTTAAGCGGGAGAAGGAACAAATTCGACTTCTTCGACCTCCAACTCAAATTTGCTCTTTCTTTGAGGCCTGAGAGCGAGGTGCAAAAGAGAGGACCGCACCTCACATGCTCAATCAATTCCGTGGTCAAGTGAGAGAAAAACTTTGCTCTTATCTATCTAGCCTCTATGTAGATACTTATATATGTCGGATCCATCTACCTATACGAACGAGTCCCAAAAAAACCAGGCTCACTCATCCCAGCCATATAATCTAATCTTTTCCCCTCTTATCTCAGCGCATTTGTCATTGGGCACCTGACACTGTGCTAGTATTGTAGTATGCTAGCAGATACTTGATGCCCAAAAACGTGAAATTGTCCTTTTGAGTTGGAGGAAATGAGAATCGTCATAATTCTAATAGGAATGTGGAGAACGAGGTTCGATGGTGTAATGTCAATGATACTGTAGGAGGGTTTTGAAAAGGAACTTGAGGACGTATCTATGGGGGGTTATGCTGGCCTTGTTTTAATTCTCTTAGCATGTCTACATAATCCTGGTGGGAAGAAGACTCAAGAAGTATAGTTTAAAATGAATTGAGCAACGACTTAAATATTCATAATAGAATATCAGTAAGCTTTCAGTCACCCGTCTCTGCCTAGGTAAATCCTCATCAACCTCATACTTCCCATCTCTCTTCCTCGTCTCAGTTCATTACTCTATTCTGAGATTTTAGAAAGTAACGAGAACGATAAACTGGACAAGGGCCAAATAACACCATAATCACGTCCAAGCAAGAATATGCCCCCCCACAAAAGGAAATCCCCAAAAACAAAAACCCATTCATCTCTCCATCCCATCACTTCCAGCCTGCGCACCTCAGTGCTCGTCTACCTCCCAATATCAACATCCTCCAATAACTATTCTTAACATTCACATCATCCCACTCAACACCCTCTAAATTCCTAACATTGAAACACGTCCACTCCCCCCAAGCCCTCCACTGCCTCTCCAATTCCTGCTCACCCAACTCCTCACTCCCAGGTCTACCATACAACCGATACGTCTCCTTATCAACATCATCTTTCACAGTGTACACTTAAATCCCGCAATTGGAGCAGAACATATGCTTCATCATCTTGCGTCCAAAAATGTAGGATGTCAGGGGATGGGAGGGGTTAGTGACGATAGAGAGTTGGGTTGTGAGGGGGTAGATGTGGCGGAGGGAGCGCTGTGGATGGTTATTTTCCATGGAGAGCAAGGGGAGTGAGGATGAGGAAAGGAAGGACAGGGGAGAAAACGTACTTTGTAGTAGATCGTACAGTTACACTCCACCATCTCCGTACTGGGATCAATACCTCCCTTATTCTTCAACGCAATAGTCGTCGCTCCACAATGGCAAGAACCATAGTACATCCTCGCATCCTCGATTTCGGCAGTAGGCTCAGGACCGATGAATTTATGCGGTATCCATTTTGGTTCGTAGGATGTTCCGTCGACTCTTTATTGTTTTTTTGTTAGAATTTTAACTTTTGATCGTTTCGATGGGAGGATGATTTCACTTACTTCCTTACTTTCAACTTCCAAACATCTACATCCTCGAGAGTACGAGCCTATTTGATTTCAGAGTCAGATGAAATCTCATGATGAGATTGAAATTAAAGAACTGACATTTATCCCAATATCCATCCCAGGCTCGGCATTATGTCTCTTCCCCATAACACCCGTCCCACAAACCGGACAAAACTACGCAGGCTAATTAGTACTCCATTTCACCCTCACTCTTTCCTCCCCTCTCCTTTTCCCAATATCAAAATCAGAATCAAAAAAAAACACCCCCAAATGCCCCGTCGTCCCCCCGCAAACTCATATCCCCTCAATTTCTCCTCCCCCTTCCCCCCCTCAAAGACCAGGTTCTTAGCCCCCTCCGGAGGAAACACCCACGCATACCCCTTCCGGAAGCAAATCGAGCAGTTACACTCGCTTACACGCTTGATCTCGGGGAGGGTGAGGGAGAAAGCTATGGTTCCGCAGTGGCAGGAGCCTTTGTATGTTTTCATCTCGTGGCTGGGTGAGGGGGTGGATGTGGAGGTGGAAGTTTCTGCCATGATTGGGAATCGCTATGGAGAATGGTTATTGTAGAAATTTGGGTGGGAAAATGTGATGAGGGTGGGGGTTGAGATAAGGAAGCTAGCTGGCTGGAGTAGCTGTTCGAGACTGGGACTGAATCGTTTGAGACTGAGGACTAGGTGTGCATTCAGTGAGAGATTAGATATACGAGTACTTATACATACGAAAGCATTCATCTAGTCCAATCCAATCCCATACAACCCCTCCACTCCTCCGTCGAAATCCGTAATAGGATATGTAAGCAGAAGCAACACCTTGCTGCAAGGCTACTGGAGGTAAACATCCCCCTGCCCCTCTCCGCTTCCAAACTTCAATTCTGGCCTAGACCTCAGTGGAAAAGAAATCTCCGAGCGAAAGCAGAATTGTATAGTCTTACCGGTACTTCAACCCACAATAAGCCAATGATTCAAGTCCTTGAAGGCAGAGCAAGTCAGAAACAAGCAAGTAAGTTTCAATACTTTCCTGCAAGCCACCTCAACTGGCCTTAACACGATCTGACGTGTTTTCGTGTCCAACCAATCAATCCAATCAAGAAATACAAACCAACCCGTTGAACAGGGGGGGAATGATTATCTTGCAGCTCAACAAAAAACAAAAGGGCCAGAAGAAAACCCCGAGGCCGCTCCAGTTCAGTAATCACAAACAAAACAAAAACAAAACGGCCTCTCATTGAACCGACGCATATTACTCAGCCACGAAAGGAACATGTCATTTTTCCATCATGGTTTACAACAAAAGATAACAAATGTTAGCGAACAAAACCCAAACCCAATCCTATCAATAACCCTAAAACAATACCTAAGTACCCTCACTTCACATTGTTGGACGGGCCATCACCACCAAGGAGGATTCCAACCCCAGGTCCTCCCCCCACCCAGTCCCAACCCACTAACAGCACTCGCCTTGGATTTCCCCAACCCCTTCGCAAGACTAGGTGCGATACTCCTTAGCGTCTCCGCCCCAAGACTCCTCTTATTCTTCAATGCAATCTCCATGATCATATTCCTTTCCTGGTCGATGCTACTCTCGCATCGATGCCCAGCCATCATATTCCCACTGACTGAAAAATTATCGTCAAGCTCCAGCGTTGAGGAAGTCACGGCTGATGAGCTTGTGCGAGTTGGCGTGAGATCTTGATCAATGCTATAATACTCGTCCGTATCAATGTTGTACAAACGATTATTGGAAAGACGACCTCGAGATGTCAATCTCATCTCGTTCCAGATTTTTCGTGCTGGATCACACTCTTCCGCTGAGCTATCAGACTCAATTCGAGACGGAAGGCGTGCAAAGGGGTTGACCCCATTATGTACACTCCGTGATCTAGTCATAGGAGCTCTAGATGCCTCCAAATCTTGTATTGGAGTAAAGAAGGCCGCGTTCCTTCCTGCAGTATGTGGCTCCTCCAACTGCGGTTTGACGGTCTCCTCACTCGAACCCCCACCACCCCGATGTGCGAAAGGGAAGGCAACCTGTTCGGTGTGTAATTTCATAATCGCATCTTCGGCCTCATCTTCTGGGAAATGTTGTCGTATAACATCAATTAATGGACTGGAAACGGGCGACGTTATGGATTGAGAATTTCGAGGTGACCAAGCGGATTGTGAATCATGCCTTTGAATAGCAACAACAGCATCTGTCTGCAGGTGTGTTTCATGAGAGCTGGCTCCGTCACCAAGCCGAGTACTTCTATTGTCATTGAGAAATCCAGAATGCTTGTAAGAGAGTCTGACGGTTAGGTAAGGATGATGTGTGTCGCCAAGATGTGTTTCCAAATCCGCGATGAGCTTGTCCGCTGAAGGGCGACTTCGACCAGATATTGCTTTTATCTTGCCAAGACTCACTCTGGCAAGAATCAGTTTCGTCTCTCCAGCTCTGATGGAAAGCGAATGATGAATATTGCCAATGAATTGTGTGATAAAACAATTCGGACTAGGCAGAACCTCGACTTTCATGGAATGCAGATAACCATGCGATTCTATACCTCCAAGATTAGTGGGTAAGATATGGCAAAAGCTATTGGCAAGAAACCAACCTGATCGTTCTGTTGTCACTGAACCATACGAATATCTCGAGTAACCCTTTTCTTGCCTCAGACATCCATCAGCAGTCCTAAGAACTCCAGATATCTCTATCGCGACCCAAAAACTACAATTTCCTGAATCAACGATGGCTTCTTCAGGTGTAACAAAAACTTGAGGTGATAGTATGAGATGATTCCGAAGCCCGAGAAGTGGCCTCGTCGAAGATTCGCCCGAACTTTGAATATGGCGACTCGCCATTAGTCTCAGATCGTGGCTGGCGTCGGTGATATCTCGACTTTCAATCTCGTAAGGTGCTTCTGGCTCTTTATACGGTGTACTCGCAGAACCAGACCTGCTCCGACGCCCAGAGTGTGTGCTTTTGACACTCTTGTTGCTTCTACTGCGAGATAAACGACGTATGAGTCCACCTCTGGGAACCTCACCAGACGAATCTCTGTCCGTCTTTTCTGGGCTACCATCACCCAAACTCCCTATGGCTTTGAGGAAAAAGTTTTTGGATCTGGACAGCTTTCTTTCAATAGTTTTTGGTTCATCAGTGATCTTGGTAAAGCTAAGATCGGCTCTAGGAAATGGCACAGCATTATGAAAGTCAGAAGAACTTGTATTCCGTGAGCCCCTGGCCGAGTATCGCCCCGCAGTAGTGGCAGGATATTGTAGTTCGGATTTGAGAAACGCCCCAGCAACGGTGGACTTTGAAACATGCGAGCGCGCTTTTGGTGTTGTTTCGGAACCGACATCTTCGCTCGAATGGCCATCTGTCTTACTTTTAGTGTCGGTCAGTCTATCACATGTGGATTTATCACCATAAGTTTTCACTGGAGTTCCATCAAATCTACCGTCTAGTATACTTCCCCTCTCCCTCCTTCTTTTCCTCACGGTTATAGGTCTGTCGCTGCCCATCGGCGAGCTTCTCGTGCTCTGGTCGGAGGAATACGACGATCCACGTCCTCTGCTGAGAACCTCTCCTGACGCCTCGCTACCGGAGATGGTCTTACTACGTTTGATGATCCGAAGGGGCTTTGGCTTCGTGATGCCGGCTCCGTGAAGCTCCAGGACAGGCGATTCGACCGACTTGGATGCCATGATCTAACTGGGCTAGGGCTATCGCTGTACCGGATTGAACGTCTTTCGTTGAGTGACCTTCTTCTTGGCGATATGGATGTAAATCTAGTGTATGGTCTACTGCTCTGAGAACTGTGTATGCTTTCAAGGTCACACCAGGAATCTCCGTATAGCTGGTGTGATGCTAAATCGGATCGATTGTGTCTTCTTCCTCGATGGCCGGTTCGCCAGCGAACCCAAGAACCTCTTTGATTCCAATGCCGACGGAAAAAATCGGCGATGGTTTGGAAACCTCGTTGAGTTTTGAGAGCGATAAATGCAGCTGATGCAGCTATGACAATCGGCACAAGAATGAGAGCACCGATTGCAGTAGTACTGCTAATCATAGCCAAACTTGAATGTATGTTGACGTGATAGAATAGTGGTAAATTGTGACAGAGAATTTGATTGCTGGAAGATCAACTGGAGGGGGAGATTCTTGTTAGGACAGGACGTAACCAAGGAAGGAGGCTTCCATGTCATTCATCAATACCTACTGCCCCCGAGGCAAGTAGTGACCAGTTGATCGGGTCGTTCTGGCCAAAAAGACATTCGACAAAAATTGTTGGAGGGGGTAGTAGGTGACACCTGCGGCTGGCTAGATTGTTGGCATCCGGTTGATACAAATCGTCGTCGGAAAAGTACTTTGAGCCGAATTGGATTATCTGAAGGGTTCAGTAGGTTATCTTGTTCTCTCAGTCAAATCCAGTGAACGTTACGCTCTTCAGTTCCCGCGACCGTGTTGGGATTAAAAGGGGGTATTCAGTGTCCATTTGAAATATGCTGATAAAACACAATAACAACTTTGAATGATTAAACAATTCCTCTCCGTTGTGGCTCAACTGTCTCCAAACTTCTTTGGACATTTTCTTTAATTTTTTCACTCTGATCTTCATCCATATGGAGAAATTGTATCAGATCATCCCCGGTTGAAGTTCCGTACAGTACAGCCTCAGAAACACTGGCTTCAACCCCTTTCTTTACTCGAATTTCCCAGACTCCGTCCCAATTCCAATCTCCAGCTTTCCTCGCTGCAGTTGGTGATGTGATTCTTGGTGACATCAGATTTCCCTGATTGGTAGTCGGCGTGGATCCTGCTTCAGTTACGGCGGTCATTGCCAGCTTTGCACGATGAGTTCTCCAAGCATGCCAGGCCCCAGGGTTCCCAGCTGCCTCCAGAGGTATGTCATCCATGATCTGATCGTCATCGAAAGAGCTTTTAATGTACCTCAGAACCTCGTAGGTGGTGATATCCCTCCTACCCGGCTCACTCGCTGTGCTCCTGCTGCCACCGGTGTTCTGACCAGCTGTTGGACTTGAGCTTCTTCCAGAAAGGAGAGAACCTGGGCTCTCCACGCCACTATTGGCTTTCCTAGGTGTCTGTAAACTGTCGCCTTGAGTCCGCTCCACTGATCTTCTATTGGCGCGTCCAAACCAGGCCGGGAAGCCATGCCGGAGCGAAAATCCACCAGGAGGCAACCGCTCCTCATCCGTTGCCGAAACCGTGCCAGAATCTTGTATGTCGGTTGTGTACATGTATGTCGTAAGAGGAGTGATAAGGGAGTGGAAGATATCGGTCGAGAAGGTGACGAGGGGTGGTAGAGAGGGGTAGCTGGGCGGGAAAGAGATCTGAAATCGCAGAATGGCGGGCGCATATGGGCCTGGACGTCGTATCTTAGCTCTGGCGTGTTTTTGCGCACCGCACGGCAAAAGGGTCGTCTCAAATACCTTTCCGTATAAATAATACACCGGACCAGAGGGTCACATCACCAGGAGTGAGACTCATGAAGACTCCATGTGGGCAGGCATGTTTGAGACTGGAGCTACAGGTCAAGCATCAGCATGATTTCATGGACGAAGATGGGAACAGAAATGAGGAATGTTCCTACAATTCCACCAATATATGCTGCCTCCGTACCGCAGATAGTGTCGGCAACTTGGGCGGCACCATTGTTGTTGTGTTGTGTTGTAGGTTTGAAGTCGGGAGTCGGGAGTCGGGTGGGAGTATGTCGCGAGGCTAATGTGACAGTTTCCTTCCCCCCTGTTCGCGAGTTTCACAAAGTAATGTACGAAGCGAGGCTGTCGAGTTATGCCACTTGCAATTCTGGGTTTTATTCAGTCCACCACAAAATGTAGAAAATAATGAATAAAACGAAGAGACGAATAGAAAGTACAGATTCGACATTATTTCAATAGCGGAAGGGGCAGGTTTCACGAGTATTTTGAGCCATCCGAATCCACATGATTTTGTTCCCGTACCTTTTTTACGCTGTGTATCAGATGCTAGAAAGGCATAAAGAACCTTGGTACAGTACCGTATAGGTCTGCAGGGGAATGACAAACATTTTTGCGAAAAACACTCTTACTCTTGGATATCCCCACGCAATCTAACCATACACAGCTCAGCGCCTGACCACCTTATTCAAAGGGTGATTGATATACTTTGTCACCTAAAACCCCCCAACCCTCCAACCCTCCAACCAGACCTGCTCATCCATTGGCGGTGTTATTCGCACCCCTTTCACTTTCCCAGTCTTGCTTCAATCTTTGCCTTCTCTTGGTCTTTGAGTTCCTTCAACTCGTCCTTGGTAGCATCGTAGCTGGCATTGACTTGGTTGAAGGGGTTATCTGGATGTCGCTCAAATTCCTTGCGAATCCGATCTTTCTTTTGGTTCTGTCTTAATCCTTGCCCACTTCCGTCTTCTTCCATCTCCTTCAGGCGTCGCTCTTCGAAAGCAGCATAGGCAGCTTTGAATCTTCTCTCGGGATGTTTATCAATCTTCGTGCTCTCGGTTGTGGTTAACGAGAGGGCATCTAAGGCATTGTCGATACCAGTGGCATTCAGCGCCCCGGCTTTTGGAGTAGGGTCATCGAGTTGTGACAGGTCGAGCCCCTTGGTTTTCTTTACCGCCTGCTTCGAATTCTTTGGAGCTGCTCGAGCATCCTTTTCTTCCGCTGCTAATAGGGCGTCCTTCTCGGCCTTCTTCCGGGCGGCCTCAGCCTTCTTGGCAGCTTCTGCATCTCTAGGGGTTTGCACTATCAGTATAGGAGCGATACCTAGGTATGCGAAGGGAAGACATGATCCGACTTAGAGTGCGGAAGTGGGCACAGACGCGGGCGGGGACTGGGTTTGAATGGAACCTGGAACCTACTTCTTCGCACTGCTCTTTGCGCCCTTGCTCCATTGCTCGTCGTCTGCCGCAGCTTTCTTTGCGTTTTCTGCCGCGGCTTTTTCTGCGGCGGCTTCAGCCTTCTTTGCGTTGCCAGAAGCCTTCTTGGTATTCTCCCCAGCCCCTTTCTTGCCTGCCATATTGCGAGTTGGTTGGATGGGCGGAAGGTGGTATTCACAGTATCGAAGACTCAATGAGTAGTTTGGCGATATGGTTGATGATGGGGATGGGGATCCAAGATGCGCCGGCGAGGGTGGGTGAGAGCCTTTGCCCCGCCATTACCCCTCCAGCGGTCGGCGTTAAGGTTGATAGCGGCGTTACGACCTGTCCCTACCCTACTTCACTTGTTGCCTGAGTGCCTGAGACTCTTCTCCCTATTTGTAAGGCACCAACTTTGACGTCTCCTCGCCTCTGCCTCGCCCAACCCAACCCAACCCAACCCAACCCAACCACCACCCTTCCATCTTGGGGCTGGTGTGCGCAAGTTCACAAACTACCGAAACGACTGCGGCACAAGTTTTCCTGCTACTCGGGTGATGGGTCTGGTGTACGATGTGATATCTGACAGATGAACTCGCGGGTCTCCAACCCCATGCTTTTGGCCCGTCGAGACTCGAGCCGCACCCGGGAACGGCGTATTCTACATATCGATTGGTGCGATGAGCCGTCAGCCCTGAGAATTTCCAACATCGCCAGCCAAGTTGGCAGAGCGGGCGGGAAAGGAGGGGATGTCAGCTAACGCCGTTTCATATTCTATCTACGTTTGTTCTTCCGACTCTGCAAAGACGTTGGCTACGCTTAGCGAGTCGAGCCAGACTCAACTGGGCAATACATCTCATACCGCATGGTGCAAGTGTGCCAATGATGCAGATATTTGTGCTTGCAGGTGCAGCAGGAGAAGCAGAAGCATGAGCGGAGCCAACAGAATGGCCAAAAAAAAGATGGAAAAAGGAATCAACAGAACTGCGAAAGAGCGTCATCTGACTCCACCCTCCTCCAACTTTTCGCTCGTCTTCTGACATGGCAGTCAAGAGAAAAGGTTGTCTGGACAAGCACTACTGCATTCGCAGGCCTCATTCACGAGAGGTGACACGTCTCATCGCACGAGATATATCGATCTGGGTGACGCAGATACCCATGCTGCAATGGTCCTCTAGCTGTCATCTAATCCTTTCCGGTTGCACAACAGCCAGGTCCGCGGAAGCTGGCAGAGTTGCCGCATGGAAGTTTAAGCTGTTGGTGCATTACTTGATGCGTTTGTCCTTTGGATACGCCCGATGCGAGTAAGCATCCGCGACCGCTGGGCAACGAAGTCGAAGCATTCAGGGGTTGATCCGACCAAGGAGTTGGAGGTTCTCCGCCGCTTCGAGAAGAATCTCAACCAGCCAGGCGTGCTACACCAAACATGCAAGGCTGTCCAATTGTCTGGCTGGATGCATCTTTGTTGCCAACCTTGGGGACAACGATGTCCAGGATGACAGATTGACCAGCGCCTTTGCCGCTTCTACTGCACACTTCGAGAATTATTTGGCAAGAAAAAAGATCAAGAAACAGACGGTGACCGAAGTGCTGCCCAATGTCACACGAAACCGCAATACAAAGATATTTTCAAACCAGTCGGCTGCCCGCCACCAATACACAGCTGCTTCGTGGCAGTGACACCATACCAAAACTTGGGTCAGAAGCGAAGGTGAAACTTTTCAGGGAAACGTGCAAAAGGATGACAAGCCCTCGAGAATTTGGATTCATCAAATGAATCAGGGTCCATTGGAATTGCACAACAGAAAACACATGCCGTCACAACCTATACAGTGATATGTCAGACCCCTTAGTGCGGCGTTTTTGTAACCATGAGAGGTCCCCGTTTTAGGGAATCAAGTGGCATTGGTCGATAATGATGAATGGCATCGTATGATTGATAGCGGTGACTGATGCTTTGAGGGATGAAAGGTAGAAACCCCCACAGACCGTGATCGTGGAGGCATTCATTCCCTATCTTCAACTTCTTATCCCAATCAAATTTTGTTCGTGTATGACACCAAACCGAGTATATCAGACCACCCAGGAACACAGCATTTTCAGCTTGAGGCGTTGACAGATGTCGTGAAGATCGTTATGATGTGGATATCAATTTCAAAGGATGAGATGAGGTTTTTGTTTTTGTTCCCCTATTTTGGAGTGGTGGGGTATTTGCGCCACATTCGCGCTGCCGGGTCGAGCGGGTTTCAATTGAATTTCCGGGGATCCAGGAACCTTCCATGAACCATGCCGAAGAAGCTGATAAAGCTTCTAGCTCTGGAGAACGGTCATGCCGACGTACGTACCGCGAAAGAGGTTCTTGATTACTATCCGACCCGCACCTCGTTTCAACTGGCGTTTATGGCATCATGGCATCAAACCCTGTGTGGAACAAACAATACGGAGATACGGAGCAAGTACGGAGTCGTGGTAAATCGATGTAAACAAGAATGCTGGGGTGGTCGGGTGGAGTAGCGAAGTTGCCATTTTGGGGGCTATTGTGAGCAGAGCTTTCCACGAGTCCCTGGGCAGAAAGTTTCTACTACTTCTAGAAGTAGGAGGAGCCATTTCATCGCTCATCGCAATCTGCATCAGAAGAAGGACTTCTAGCCAGTAGGAGCCTACAGTTTACACTGTGTTGTACTCCACCCTACTCCACTCTGACACCCCAGAATTCTTGTTAACATCGCTTTACCACGGTATTGTAATGGCCTACTTCTACTTCTACTTCTAGGTACCCGTATGCCCCTCCTTTCTTACGGATCTACCAACAATGTTGTACCATTCAATACAGCGCGACCACTACCGGGCAAGAGCTCCGCTGTGATTTATGGCACTGTCCCTCATCAGCAGTTTTTGTCATCGTGGCAGGGAAAGGTGCCTTGGTGAGGATTTGTAGATCAATGATTGGATCCCAAGTGATAGTCCGTCACCAACAATTCCGGGAACTGTGCGGAGCCTCGCCTCGAGAGTGTATTACCAAAAGCGGTCAATCCAGAAATTTCACGTCTAAAAATGGCGGTGTAGAAGAATTATATCACGCGCTCAACGGAGAACTGCTGCTTCGACCACAACAGGCAGACAACAGTGATGTGGTCGTTTTATGGTGGAAGACAATGAGGACTCCAGGGCCAATACCCGGATTTCTATCTGCAAGGGCATTGAGCAGGGCAGCGCAGCCACACAACTATGGAGTTTAGTTGCCATGCATTGCTGAGATAGCCACTTCTTGTGATTACGGATGAGGGGAAGAATTGCCACCCCAGACTATGACCAAAAATACAAGAGAATTTCCATTTTTTAATGCTGATTAGCAACCCCATTACCAGAGATGGCTAGCATCACGCAATTCGCACCACCAGCCAAACCCAAATCCTCTTCCCCGGCGGCATTAGGAGACAGTTCCGCGAAATCAAGTTTAGGTTACCCCTTTTCATCAGCGGTGCTGCAAAAAGACTCGGCACGGACAATTTTACCATGGGAACTCTTGTTACTCACTCATCACTAGCATAACCCTACTTACCAACTCGCGGGGCAAACTGGTCCCTCAACCGCCCCTCTTTCCATCGTCGCCGGAATTTTCAGCCACAGCAGAACCGTTTTCCATCACAAGTTGGGGCATCCAAGATCCCAGACCCCATCTCATGCAGCCCAATCGCCCACTTTAAGTTGACGCCCTGGAGGGCCGCGCTTAACGACGAACCTCTCCGATCCACTCGACCACTGCCGTGATCATCAAGGAAAGGATGATCCATCTAATGACCTGAGCACACCGGAATCTTCCTCTGAAGCACTCGCGTTTGTACGGGGAATGAATTGTGGGTGAAACGTGCTTGGCATAGAGCTCGTCTCTTTCTCGAAGGAATTTACTCGAGTACTCTCAGGCGTTTACAGGGATATTTCAGTGGAATACAGGGTCAATTACTCCACTAGTTACGCCTGGGACGAATTTGAAGGATCTTTATTTCTTCAGAACCCTTTCAAGCTCTTCTCCGTCCCCGGCCACCCGATTCCGCGGGTTTTCACACATTCGCTGGTCCACGATACGGAGGAAAGACCGACTGTGACACGAATGTGGAGTGTAGCAAAACTTACCAGATGTTTTTAGCTATTTTTCGTGCTTAACGAAGTTGTTACGAGGGACTATGACTTATTAGTTGTTTCTCATGATTGATGCAATAACACGCCATCCTATTCTTGTACAGCCATCAATCCGCTTTCAATGCGGAGGTTACGCCCGAATATCAAGTCTTCTGACCTCTTTCCCAGCACCAGGGCAGCAGCTTACGCTTACATACCTTTTTGAAAATGTTACGGTTGCAATAATGCAGAATCCTCCCAACTATGACTGCTTCACAGCCCATTCAAGCTCAACATAACGAATCTTAGGCTCATTTGGTGCGCGCATTTACCGCAAGAAAGGAAGTTGTGTGGACTCGGTACGTACGGAGGTACACTCAGAATAACTACATCTGGCAAGAGTAAGCAGCTGTCGTTGCTTTGTCAATTGATCTTCCATTGAACTCAATTATTAAGGAACCGCGATCAAATATAGAAGCAGAACCTTGGACAACAATAAATAAAGATTTTCAGGGGCTTGTTCGCTTCGGTAATGGAACGATAGAACAAAGTTTAGCGGTTGGGCGTTAAGGTCGGGGGTCCAAAGCAAATCGACAACCCGCGTCTCTGGTATCGGTACAACTGAGATGGCAGGGCTATCCATGACGTTATGAGAAGAAGACAAATGGAAAGGATACGCAAATTTATTGAAAACGGCCCGGAAAGGAATCCGCCAGGACACTTTTTTACCGGTGGCTGTCACCCCGTCTCAGACCGGCAGGCCGCCTCATGTCTCTCGGACATTTTACAAACTCCAGGGGCGCTAATCATCACACCACGCCCAAAGAGTCAAATTGGGAACTTGACTAACTTTTCAACCAATCTTCTTGTCCTGGTTCGCCGTCAAGCAGGTGTATGAGCCTCACTTCTGAAAACGGTTGCTCGGGGGGACGACTGGAGCCTGGACATGACCTGCCATTGCATAATGTCTCCGGCAGGCTGCATTTCAGAGCGTCGACGCACGAATGAGAGCGCCAGCGCTTGCTGCGGAGTTTCTGCCACCAGCTGCCTTTCCAGAGCCCAGCACTTTGCAATAGAGATCTCCCATGCCGGGGGGTTTACCGGGTGCTGGTTCTCCGTGTGGACAATTCTCCGTCACTTGTCATCGAGTGGCTGATGGAGATGGAGATGGAGATGGAGATGGAGAGGGGACGAAAGAGTCAGAATGCGCTTTTGATCGCCAGCCCAACATGATGTCCAGAATCATTGACATCCACTCTACAAAATGCAAGTGTAACACAAGCTGGCTAGTCCGGAGAGGCAACGTGGGCGCCCAGGATAAGGAGGGTGGAGCGCCGAGTGTTGGCTTTGCTTGCTGATGCCGAATTGCTGATGCTGATGCGATGCTATGCTTATTGCTGATGAAAGGGGCAGCAGAGGGCGGTCTGCAGGTGGCTCGTCTCGTTTACCTCTACGGCCCCTTCTGAACGTCACTCGCTTGTGGGAGGCGAGGTGCTCCTTTCTCTGACTTCGACGGAACTCAAAAGAAATCATTGAAGCCCAAGACGCCGCCATTGCGATGGGCAATGGATGGCCATCTCATCCTCGCGGGTCGGTACGGATGTGTGCAGGTGGCCCTCGGAATCTCCATCGGCCACATGTTGATCGCACCGGTTTTGAGATTGGCACTGTGCTGGTTGGGAGGCCCAGGGAGGGGCAGATATCGATACGAGAACCACCCAAAGAACGAATCCCCTGACGCAACAAGAGCCCAAGAAAAGCAGAACAACGCAGGCTCCCCCTCCACACCGCTCGCCATCCAGGGTCAATGCCCCCTTGACCCCTGGGGCATCTTCCCTGCACACTGCCTGTGCCCCTCGATCCAAGTTCCAACCCGCGCGCTACAAAGACCCGAGCAGCCCTGGGCCCATGTGAGTACCCCAGCCAATCTGCAAACAACTTTTCCATCAAGCACACCTTGCCATTTTGGGCCCTGATTCCCAACGGGTCACGGAGTCAAATGCCGGGGCTGATGGATTACCGTCTGATACCAGGGCGTGGACAGGGGCCCCGAGCTTGCAAGCGGTGATGATTTTCACCACGTCCTGTCGATGGGGCAGATGGGGCATTTGTGCCAGACCGAGCAGCAGCAGCAAAAGCCAGCAAGAGCCCCCCCTGGGTCCTGGAGCCCCGGCCCTGGCAAGCTTGACGATGAACGTGGCCCCGTTGCCGGCCTCCTGCAGCGCAGCGTATACGCCTCGTCACCGCCCATCAGATTGTAATTTCAAGTATAATAATTTACGCGGCCGCTACGATCCGTGGCCCAGAAGTCATAGCTGTGTTAGCTTTATAATTGCTTTGCACGCCCGCCCTTCCCTCACCTTCCGACTGTTTGCTCTCACTCCCTCTCCACTTTACTTACCCAGCTTGGTGGTTGCTCTTGCCTATTCCACTTCGACAACACAATCCCAATCGCAACTCGTGACAGACCCCACCGACCGAACTACTTCGTTGGCCACGTAGCTAAACATCCCCATAAGCATCCAATTGCCAAAGAACACTTGCCATTAGCGACCTTCACCTCTCCTGGACAATTCACACAAATTCGTCCACAATAACAAGAAAATAATCGCCATGTCGGGCCTCCAAAACTCAGATCCGCGGAAGCGGAGCCCCAAGTTCCCAGTTCAGCAAATGACAATTCTTGGTTGGTCTACAGCTTCATGAGAAGCAGAACTTTTGTTGATATTTGTAGCATTATGCCGAATCTGCGAACCCATCGCCTTCATGTCGATTTTTCCATACGTTTACTATATGGTTCAAGATTTTAAAATCACCAACAAACCGGAGGACCTCCCAATGTATGCAGGAATGGTGACCTCAGCTTTCGCTTTCGCCGAATTCTCCTCTGGGGTTGCTTGGGGTAGACTATCCGACAGAATTGGACGAAAGCCGGTACTTTTGACGGGTTTGGCTGGAACGGCACTAAGCATGTTGATTTTTGGTTTCGCTCCCAGTCTGCCAGTTGCCTTAATGGCAAGAGCTTTGGGAGGGCTTCTAAATGGGTATGTGTCAAAGCTCTGCGCTCTCCGGATAATTGTGACTAATTTGAGTTTCTCTCCAGAAACATCGGAGTTCTTCAAACCACTGTCGCTGAAATGGTTACCGTCAAGGAACATCAACGTGCGTATTTTGCATACATGCAGATTGCTTCGTGCTGACAATTTACTAGCCCGCGCGTACACCATCATGCCTTTCGTTTGGTGTCTTGGGTGAGTCCGACAATGATGGTTCGAATATTCTGATTCTAACGTATCCGTAGATCAATCCTCGGACCTATGCTTGGCGGAGCACTTGCCAATCCTGTGAAGAATTACCCCTCAATCTTCCCCGACGGATCAATCTGGTCGAACTATCCGTATTTACTACCTAACCTGGTCTGCACAATCATCGTTTCTTTTGGAGTGGTGATTGGAATTTTGTTCTTGGAGGAGACTCACCAGGAAAAGAAGCATCGACGCGATCCGGGCTTGGAAGCTGGAAGATGGATTATCCGAAAAGTTACAGGTGGAGGATCTCGAATTTCAAGCCGCGAAAAGGTCATGGATTTCCAAGAGGCCGTGGCCCTCTTGCACGAAGACGAACAGCCTCCAGGATACAGAACAAACGAAGGATCACCTCTCCTACCATCCACTCCATCGCCTGAGCCAAATGAGGAATTGGATCTTAATGACACTACGACTATTTACAAACCCAAGCCAGCGGTATCGAAAGCATTCACACGACAAGTTGTTTTGAACATTATCGGTTATGGAATCTTAGCTTAGTAAGTTATGCACCTCTTTCTCTTACTGCGGTTTGACTGACTTGGCATCAGCCATACGATCACCTTCGATTCTATGCTCCCCACCTTTCTCAGCACACCCAAGGAACAAGGAAGCTCCATGCCATGGTCTTTGCCATTTAAATTCGTTGGTGGTTATGGACTCACGGAACCCGAGATTGGGGTTGTTTTGGCTGTTCAAGGTGCATATTCTATGATGGTGAATGTTTTCCTCTTCCCCATGATTGTCCGCAAAATCGGTGCGTTGGGATTGTTCAGGATGATTGCCATCTCATATCCGCTACTCTACATTGCAACACCCTATCTCGTCCTCCTCCCAGAGCAACTTCAAATGGCTGGTGTTTATGTCGTGGTCATCTGGAAGTGCACATTCTCAACCCTCGCTTACCCTAGCAACGCCATTCTTCTCACCAATTCAGCACCATCTCTCCTGCTCCTCGGTACGATCAATGGAGTGGCTGCCTCGACTGCGAGTCTCTGCCGAGCATTCGGGCCCACAGCCTCTGGCTTCCTCTTTTCCGCCGGTCTTAGCTCAGGTTACTCAGGACTTGCATGGTGGTGTAGCGCCATCATCTGTATATTTGGAGCAGTTTTGAGCTTGAGTATGAGCGACAAGGGAGGACGAATGGACCCAGACGAGAAGAGTGAACCCGAACCGGAGTTGGGATTCGAGGAACAGATCTTGGATCATAACGCCCTTGATTCAGCGATTGCCGCGGCGAAACCCCGAGATGACTCGATATAATCATGCCTTGCATACGATTCACGAATTTCCTTGGACCCCCTTCATCGATTTCGAATCTCCGTTAGCGTTCTTGGGTTCTCTTTTTCTATTCTCATTGGTTTCCTCGGGAGGAATACTTGTATAAATTTCTCGGCATACTTTTGTTCTTTACTTTTGTTATCATCGTATTTTAGATATCCCTCTTTTCTTTCGCCGGCGTCTTTACATGAGCAGGGGTTTTCCAACTTTCCGAGAGAAGGAGATGTTTTTCTTCTTCGGCAAGGGAGTTTTTTTCAACCATATATTCCTTTTTAATATTTGTTTCTGTTTTCATTGGTTTGGTTTGGTTTCAGCACAAAAAATCTTTGGTTTTGTTTTTCGGGAGTTTTTATAAAGAAGGAAAGGGATATGGTTCAAATCATTGGGATTATGTATATTGTCTTATAGTACCCGGAGGGGATGGGGGAGTTTGTGCTTTGCCTCACATATGGATGGGGTAGGCCTGGGATGTTCCTGCTTTTAGGCGATTGGAACGGGAAAGGATGGAAGGAAGGGCATGGCATGGAAGGAATAGGAATAGGATAGGTATAGGATAGGAATAGGAACGGAAATGTAGTATTCTTTCTTCTCTCTTCATATGGTTCTTTTTTTTGGTTTCATGGTCTTCTCTTGGTGGTTTGTTAGGGGGGGTATAGGAGTTGGGAATGGAATATGGGAAATCGAAATAGCCAAGATAGTCTTTGGGAGGGGAAGGCTGGAGATAGGTAGGTAGAGCATATCATTTACCCCGGCTTTTATCCTAGCTTCTATTACTTTGTTTTTTAATTTCGTATACCTTATCTCATGTATTTTATTTTCTTTTTTTGATTTTATTTTATTTTTTCGAGTTGTTTAGGGGATGGGATGAGAGGGGGTAGCTAGGTAGATAGGTAAATAGGATAGGTAGAGGAAAGGAAGGGAAGGAGGTAGGGTAGTAGATTATATTTATGTTTTATATTTATATTTTATATTTTATATTTTATATTTTATATTTTATATTTTATATTTTATATTTTATATTTTATATTTTATATTTTATATTTTATATTTTATATTTTATATTTTATATTTTATATTTTATATTTTATATTTTATTCTTCTTTTACCTTCTTTTTTTGTTTTGTTTTTGAGATTTCTTGGAGAGTGTAGTACTGTATTAAAAGGTAGGTAGGATATTGTCGGTATATAATTCTGGTGAATAGCACCTTGTACGAGAGCCTGGTGGATCTATATGCTTTAGGTCATGTGAGTGGCTTGCCACTCATATACTTAAGCTTTTAGGGTATCACCTCTCTTTACCTTTACTCTTCATACACGAATGAATACAAAGAGAGATTATGTTTGTGTATCACCCTTTACGACAACCAGGTCGTACCAACAGATATTTTATTTTTAAATGAAGAAGGGGAGGGAGTGAAGGGATAGGTAGGTATTGTAGTAGAGAAATATTTTATTACTTGGGTATTATACTTAGGGATAAAGAAGAGGGTTTTATTTAATTTACTCATTTTATTCCTTAAAGAAAGGGGAGGGAAGTAAGGGGAGTAAATAAGTAATCATCTTTATAACCCGTGTTTTATAAATATAATAAGTTAAGGTAAAATGAAATAAATTATAAGCTTTGGAGTAAGGGATATTATACTTCTTCGTATACTTGATCTGTCGTATATTATGTAAGATGTAGATTTAACTTCTATCTATCTACCTAGCTAACTTAAGTAACATAAGCGAAGGGAGGGGAAGGAAGGAAGAAATGGAAAGGGAAGGGAAAGGAAAGGGAAAAGGGTAGTAAGTGAGTAGAATAATTACCGGAAGCGGAAGGGGTCTTTGTCCCGAGGGAGGAAAGTATTATAGTATGTCGTATCGGGTGTTACTATGGGTGTCAGTGATTTGTATTGTTGGGATGAAACGATGAATATCGGTGACGGAAGTGAAGTGGGGAATTAAGCTTACGGTAGGATGGGATAGGATATAGTATAGCCTTGTAGGTAGGGAGGTAGGTACACCCGTTGAATATCTTACTACTTAAGCTTACTGCTTCTAGAATGTTTGCTGGTTAATTCTTGGCAGGGCGTGCGATCTTGTTACTTTTGGGTTTTCTGCTCGTGGAGTGGATGGAGTTGGGTACCGTAAGATACTCGGTGTGTACTGTAAGCTTAACTTATGCTTGTGGCTTTCGAGTACCAGGGTACTTTGTTGCTGCTTGAACGTTTTGGCAGTTTGGCTTGGGGATGAGGAGGTGTAGTGTATAAGAAAGGTACCTGTTGTGCGTATAGTACTTGGTCGGTGATAGTAGATGTTATATCCAGTGAGTGCATGATAAGTTGGGTTTTCTGCTTGGCTACCTAGGTACGAAGAATAAAATCAGTTCCTCGTAACCCCTCTATTAGCGGTAACAATAAGTCTTGGAACCAGAGGAGGGATCTTCCCCTCTCTCTACGTCAATACTAACAAATGAGACACTTCGACACAAGTAGTATAAGATCTTCAACGTTTCTTCCGCCCATCTCACTGCTTGCAGATGGTGAGATGGGCGTACTTCGTACAACAACATCGTTATTTTCCCTGATCGGAAGAAGCAGTCAGATCTGTGCAGGATCTCACTGCTTGAAGCATATGCAAGCTATCCGTCCTTGCCGAGGGCGTACAAATCACTTTTCTCTTTACTTTTTTCAGCCACGATTCAATATTGATGAAAAGGGTGAGATGTGCGATGCTCGTTAGCCATTTGTGACTTCTCCTACCGAATCTCATATCTTGGTAGGGAGTCTGTGCCTGGATGAAGATTTCGACATACTTCGTCAGATTCCACGGCGGCTCATCCTTACTTTACTTGATCCCTACACATAATCGCCCGGCCCGCGCTTGGCCGGGCCAATGCTTTGGAACCTTCGTACCTCTCTGACCGTGATTGGCCCAAGCTCTTCTCGGGATGGGATTTTGGCTGCTGGAGCTTCCTTGTCTACTCGTATAGCGTACACTACACATGTGTAGGCAATTGGATGGAGGGAGTAGCGAAGAGCTGAGGTTGTGCAAAGTCGAGTAGCCGCAGTGAGGGATGGTGCTGCAGTGAGGGATGGTGCTGCAGTGAGTGATGGTGCTGCAGTGAGTGATGAGTGATGAATGAGGAGTGATCAGTGAATGAATCCAGGACACTCAGCGATGTCGGAGAGATGTAGATGGTGAAGGCAGTAGGTACTGCTGGAATCCAGCCCACGATGTCATACCAAGGTACGTAGGTTGGTGTTTGTCAGGAATTCCGCTTTCTAATCGGGATATCGTGAGGCTTCATATCCAAATTTCTCCTCCCACTCCCACTCCCACTCCCACTCCCACTCACTATCGCCGCCAATGACCGGGCAGTCCAATTCTGGAGCTATCTTGAGTCTTGCCTACAAGCTACAATCTACACCCAATGGACTGCGCCCCCCGCGACTTCTTTTTCTGATCCAAACTATCTCGAGTGCTCCTTCTCTCTCCGAACTCTCGCGTTGCCTTGAATTGATATCCAGTCTGGACCCCGCTTGTCTTCATCACCTACTTCGTACATCCATCTGCATCCAACTCAGACCCCCAGCTAGCCAGCCCCAGCGTCGCATTGCACATCTCCATCCCCATCGCACATCTCAGCCCAACTTGACCTCAAACCAACCCAACCCAACCCCGACGCGGGTCCACCACAATCCTGGAAGTTGATAGCCCAACCGCATCATATCCATACATCCATATCATACCTGGTTACTTAGCAAGGCAGCAGCACTGGCTGACAGCGTCAACTTTCTTACCACGCTCGAAGCGCACATCCGCCCACATCCCATCGCGGCTTCACGAAGCTTACGCACCTTGTACCACGATACCCATTTGCGGTGCCTGTACCCACCGCCGCACTTCTGCGCACAATCCAAACGCCTACGTCGTGCCAAAGGCGGCGCACCGAGCAGGCGTACGGCCCAATGAAGCAAGACTTTCCACCTCAAGCGCCAATTCGTTGACCGCGAGAGAGCGACCGCGCAAGAGAGGAGCCGTGAGCCCCGCGAGAGCCGCAATCGAAAACAAAATCCGGGGTAAACCGAGGCGCGATACTCCGTACTCCTCCGTACCTGCGATTCACCCTACCTGACCCTACGCTACCTCAAACGCCGTCGCCGATTTCCTCGAAGAGTGGAGGGCACGGAAAATTCCATACCTGGACCGATCTCCAGACGAACGCCTCATCAAACAAGCTGGACGACGACGGGGCGCAGACAGGTAGGATAGCATACAGAGGGGAGCATGACTTCCAATTCGCGCCCCTCTCCTCGGACTTCCAATAGCGGTGCTGGTCCTCCTGCCAAACGAGCCCGAGTCTCATCGCCCGATCAATCGGTACCGGTGGCCGAGAGTCCGCGCACTACGGAGGAGGGTGATTTACCTAGTCAGCCATTGCCGGAGAAGACGGGGAGTAAGGCAGGACAATCGAGTAGCTTTCGCAATGTGAGTGCTTGCAATCGTTGTAGATTGAGGAAGAATCGGTGTGACCAGCGATTGCCGAGTTGTGCAAGCTGTGAAAAGGCGAATGTGAAATGCGTGGGCTATGATCCAATTACCAAGAGAGAAATACCAAGGAGGTGAGTTTCGCATAATCTTTTTGCTGATTAGGAAGGATCAAGTTACCGACACTCGCTATGCGGTAGGGCCGAAGTCATGTTTTGTTAACCTGTAATCGCAACAGTTACGTCTTTTATCTCGAATCCCGAGTGGCCCATTTGGAAAAAGTCCTAGAAGACAATGGCATACCATTTGCGCCAGCAGATGTTCTCGAGCATGCGTCTCGACCAGGCGCAGATCCAAACCTCATTCAGACCCCAAGCGATGATGGAAGACAGTCCTACATAGGAAGCGAGATAGCTTCAAGCTCCCACAAGAATAACCCCATGTCCCATTTAGGAAATGTGTCAATGCAAGGTGCTTCGGACTCACGTCATTTGGGCTCTGCAACGGGCATATCATTTGCGCGCGTGGTTTTTGCTGCTGTGAAATCTTCGGTATCTGGATCCACGAGTGATAAGAGTGGTGTGAGACCTTCCAGACCTCCCATTTCAAGCAAGGCCGCTGGACCTGGAACTGGAGGAACTTCGATGAGAGAGTCATTTTTCGGGCTCCACACGAAACCTATGATGAAACAAGCACCGTTGCCATCGAAAGAACTGGGAGGTCGGCTCGTGAATTTCTACTTCGAACATGCAAATCCTCAAATCCCAATTTTACATCGTGGTGAATTCATGAAAATGTTTGAGCTAGCGTATGCAGAAGGAGATGCGAGAGTTCGGACGGCGAGGGAATTATTCATGCTGAATATCGTCTTTGCGATTGGCGCGGGCATCTTCCTTGGAGATTCGTCTGATCGCGAGCAGAAAGATGGAACGGACGAGGGGAAAGACCCAACCATCGGCCAACAATATCAACCTGAAGAATACCACGCCTCGGCCATTATTCATCTGGAACCTTGTCTGGATAGACCGGAGGGTTTTGGTAGTGGACTTGACGAGTTGCAATATGTCTTACTCTTAGCAGGCTTTGCTCTTTTGAGACCAGTGGCTCCTGGTTTGTGGTATATCATTGGAGTTGCGGTTCGCTTGGCTGTAGATCTTGGCCTTCATCATGAGGATGGTAACGGTGTTGATGTTGGCCTGGAAGATCCATTGCAAGATGTCCCTGAAACCGATCTCGCTCGACAACAAAAACTACGAACTATTTTTCGAGAAAAGGGGCGGCGGGAGTGGATTCGAGACTTTCGTCGCCGCCTATGGTGGTGCGCCTACTCATTCGATCGACTGGTATCAACCTGCGTGGGACGACCATTTGGTATATCAGATCAAGTCATTACAACAGAATTTCCTTCCTTATTAGATGATAAATACATTACGCCAGCCGGATTCCAGCAACCACTTGGAGTAGAGAATGAACCTTCTTACAAACATGCCGCTTACCATTACTTTCGATTAAGATTACTGCAATCGGAGATTTTGCAGGTCTTACAACATCAGCAAGCACAACAGGCTCGAGCGGGCGGCGCAAATCAACGAAATCCATACATGCACACCGCATTACCTTCACCATTTCTGGCAAAGTTCGGTACTTTCAGATCATGGCGTATCGATATCGATAAGCGACTCTGGGAATGGAAAGAATCCGCACCAACCAAACAGGAGACTGGGGTTGCGTTTTCAATTGAATTTTTAGAATTAAACTACTGGCAATGCGTCATCATGCTTTACCGACAAAGCTTGAGTGTACCTCAAATATTCGAAGGTGAATTCAATACCAGTAACGAGGTCGATAGTCCTAATATTCATAATGTTGAATTGCGGGAGGATGAGGAGCGGGTGTTTGTCAAGGTTGCGGAGGCTGGTCAGAGAGTCTTGAGGTTGTATCGAAAGTTGCATCGTGTACATCTCGTCAATTACACCTTCTTGGCGACGCATCACTTGTTCATGGCTGGTATATCATTTCTCTATGCAATTTGGCATTCTCCGATTGTGAGAAGCCGATTGGTAAGTCATCACTGGCATGATCTTGAAACATAGCTAACATTGGTAGACATTGGATGAAGTCGATTTCACCATTCTAGCCGCAACTTCCGTCCTGGGTGATCTGATCGAAAAATGCCCTCCCGCGGAAGCATGCCGTGATGCATTTGACCGGATGTCAAAAGCTACAGTAAACATGTGCATGTCAACCACAGGGTTCAGTTCTTCCGTGGGAGGCATTAATTCCGGTCGCTATTCTTCTAACCATCGATCCTCCAATCACAACCGTCAAGACTCTACCGAATTTAATAACAACCGTCGACCATCTCGCCCTCGACCGAAATCGCAATTCGATATGGGTCTCAATGATCTTCTTGGTCCTACAACGCCTACGTATCCTAGTATCGAAACGGAGTTTGAGATGGGCGGTTCGTTTAGGGGGTCAGGACAGAGTGCTGGCGCAGTCCATTCCTCGCCGCCCGAGTACGTGGTCTCACCTACGATCTCCAATGTTGATGCTTCAGTCATTGATCCCAGTCTCCTTCCCTCACCAAGCGCTCCACCTACTTCTGCCTTTCCACCGAATTCCTTCCCTCCCCTGACTACAACCGCTCCAAATCCATATCCTCCTCAACAAGTAATGGATTTCTCGTTTGCTAATGCACCTGGTATGGATTTTCTGAATGATGGTGCGGCGACCGTGGGTAATGGCAATAATGGCTGGTCGGAAATGGGGGCTGCGGGTGGTGGTGTGGTTGATGGGGGTTGGAATGGAGATTTGGGATTGGGACTTGGTTGGGAGGGTGCAGATCATGATTTTAGTGAGGGGGGAAATGGGGGAGTCGATCTGTTTGATGGGTTCTTCTTTGGTGGAACTGGGGGATTTTAGAACTCGAAAGTCGAAAGGGTGGCGTACATTGAAGAGCGGATGGATAGATGGATGGGGTGGATGATGGGATTTTGTGTGTGCTTCTGCTCGTAACTTATCCTTGGGTGTTCTTCGTTCGTTTTTGCCTTTTAGCACCTTGATGATCTGATGGCTTCTTTCGGCGTTTTCTTCTTCTGGGTTCGCGGGTTCGGGTCTGGGAAAAGCGCGTCATTGTTTTCACTTTTTTTCTTATGTGGGGAGGGGATTCGTTTTTCTTTATTTGTTTATGGATGGATAGATGGATGGAAGCACGCATCGATGCAGCTTTGTTATTTGATGAGGGGACTTGGGGTGTGGAGGCGGGTTGAGGATGGATATGGGCTGATGATGTTTGTTATGGGCTCAAGGGGACTAGGGTTTAGGTGATGGGATGGGATAGGGAGTAGGTGATACGGCCATGGGATTATCAATTAGGTGATGGGTGATGGGTGATGGGTGATGGGTGGACGTACGTGGAACATGATTACAGATATGATATAGTACACTGTACATAGTGGACAGAGAAGAGCAGAACAGAGCAGAGCAGAGTGAGAATACAGAGAATAAAGAGAATCAAGAGTAGTGTATGAATAGAGTGTGAATGTGATTATTGATGTGTATGAGAGGTATGAAGGCCTGTCTAGGTAATGAATACTGTATCTATATAGATAAGAGGATGGATGGATGGGTTTTGATCTTTTAAGGTGAACCCTTGAAAGCAGAAAGTTTATGAAAGGTCCCTTTGGAAAGGAAGGGGCGCACTTGTACTTGTACTTGTATTATAGGTATCTATCTTACTATATAATTTGGAATTTAGATTTAGATGTCATAGAGTGTAGAGTGGTATACATGGAATACAGTATATTACTAGCGAAATTGAAATTGAAATTGACATCGATGAGGTATGTACGGAGGTTAGGGTTAGGTATAGAATGTTAACGTAAGATTTACTTACTTGACTTTGAGGATTTGGAGGTAAGGGATGGAGGGAAGTTACTCAATCGGGTATAGAATAGGGTAGGGTTAGAATAGGGTATGGTTAGAATACGGTAGAATAGGGTAGAATAGGGTTAAGCTTAGAACTGGTGTGAGAAAGTTAAGGTATAGAATAAACTTAACAGTAATTAACTAAGATACCCCTTTATATATTACAAATACCTAATATACCCCTTAATTAATTCGAGTTAGTCTAAGATATCCCTTATCTTATATAGTTGAAGTCAGGGGTGTTTCGGTTATAAATAGCTATAAAACAAGAGTATTTTAAGTATTAATAATATATCCAAGGGTATCTTAGTTAATAGATTAGTCTTAATTCGTTATTTTTAAGAAATATCCTCCTAAGTAACACCCTCGAGGTCCGAAGTAACCTTTTAGGGATTACTACGATTAAGAAGCTAATTGTAAATAGCCTCTTTTGCCTTAGGTATAGAGCTCCACTCCTAACCAATTCGCAGAGGCTCTTCTGACGCCGACTTTCTCTTAATAATTTCCTTGTCTTGTGATTTCTGTTTACTAAGCATACGGTGTGGTCTTTTAGGCTTTTGTGGCTTTTGTAGCCTCGTCGTATATGCCTTGCAGCGGGCTTACTTTTAGACCTACTTATAAGGGAGTGTATTAGTTGTAGTATTATTATAATAAGTCTAGGGAACACTTTAAAACAACAAGACGTATAGTATATAATAATAATATATAATTCACCTAGATCCCGTATAATATCCTTACGTAAGAATATGAATTTACACTAGCTGAAATGCACTTGTTTTATAGTCATTTACGACCGAAATACCTCTAGTTTAGATTAAGGGGTATTATAGACTAACTCGAATTAATTAAGGGGTATCTTAGGTATTTATAATATGGTAAGTGTAACGAATACTCAAACTGGCTAACTAAACTTGGCTGGGTGTTCGCTGGTTGGTATGCTATGATAAGAAGAAGACTATCGGGTTGTTCACTTGGAAGTGAACTCGTTACTTGTATCAAAGATGTCAAAACTAATATGATAAGATTGATAACTAAGTTGAGCACGAAGCTCCTATCTAATGGCAGACGTGCCAGTCTTATATAGAACCCTCGTTCCCATGGTCGCCATGGTCGAACAGTCGCCCATGGTCGACACGGTCGACGTGTCGGCCATGTCGCTGGTCACGTGATTCCAACCCAAGGAAATCCCTGGATCGCTTAGCTAGCCCAAACGATCCCTTATTTGCTATAAGTCTATAGATGTGCTTGACCTGTCAGGACGCCGCCTGGTCTTCACTTATCACGTGTGCACGTGATTCGTGACAGTAAGAGGTATCTTAGTTAATTACTATAAACCTAATTATTCGTTAGCGAAGCTAAAGTTTTTAGTACGTAGGGGGAGGGGAAGGGGGGTGCTTACTAAGCTAGTCTTACGAGATATTTTTGAGTTAAGGATTTAGGTAGTTTTATAATCCGTATATAGCTTCTAATTGTGACGGAGCTGGATTTCATTTGACAGGATTTCATTCGCTTGGCCAAGCACGTGACGAGACTTGGCATTGGAACAACTTAAATAACTTCGCTCCTTTCAGATTCTCTTCTCTCTTTAGTTTGATTTCTTCGTACCTACGGTTTTAGTTCTAGCAATTGATTCAAAAGCTGTATATACTTTATCCTTCGTTGGCATCCGTGACACTAATTAGCTAGAAACCCCTTATTTGTCACGAATCACGTGTTAACACGTGGAGAGTGAAGACCAGGCGGCGCCCTGACAGGTCAAGCACATCCGTAGACTTATAGCAAATGGGGATCGTTTAGGTTAGCTAAGCGATCCAAGGATTTCCTTGGACTAGGGATCACGTGACGAGCGACATGGTCGACCAGGTCGACCATGACGACCACTGAGAACGAAGGTTCTATATAAGACTGGCACGTCTGCCATTAGATAGGAGCTTCGTGCTCAACTTAGTTATCAATCTTATCATATTAGTTTGACATCTTTGATACAAGTAACGAGTTCACTTCCAAGTGAACAACCCGATAGTCTTCTTCTTATCATAGCATACCAACCAGCGAACACCCAGCCAAGTTTAGTTAGCCAGTTTGAATATTCGTTACATTATTATTAATATAGCTAATATAAATTCGATAAAAAAGTATAATAAAGATATTCTAGACTCGCTTAGCTTAGTTAGTATATAGGGGTAGGAATACTAAAACTATGTAACGAATACTCAAACTGGCTAACTAAACTTGGCTGGGTGTTCGCTGGTTGGTATGCTATGATAAGAAGAAGACTATCGGGTTGTTCACTTGGAAGTGAACTCGTTACTTGTATCAAAGATGTCAAACTGATATGATAAGATTGATAACTAAGTTGAGCACGAAGCTCCTATCTAAAGGCAGAAGTGCCAGTCTTATATAGAACCTTCGTTCTCGTGGAGCCTACGGGGAGCCCAAGATCCTCAAGCTCCAACGCAAGCTCCTGCAAGCTCCAACGATCATGTGACCCTGTCACGTGATACTAACCGAATGAAATCCCTGGATCGCTTAGCTAGCCCAAGCGTCCCTATTTGCTATAAGAGTGCTGATAGTGCTTGAGCTTTCAGGACGCCGCCTGGTCTTCTCTTATCACGTGAACACGTGATTCGTGACAGATACCTACGTAGTACGATTATAACTAGGCTAGTAGTAGAGGGAGTACTAAGGTACTAAGTGTACGAGCTAGGAATACTAAAACTACAAGTACTACTCTGGCGCCTATATCGCGCTAGAATAAGATTTAAAATATATGTTAATTAAGTATAAATATTCTAAGTAGCTAGGCTATATTTTAGTATTCTCGCTATACTATTATAATATCTATAGCTAGTAGAGTATAAACGTATATGCGAGTACAACCGTAGATTATAGTAAGGTAGCTACCTAATATATATAAGTTATAATCTAAGGCTTTAGATATTATTTAATTAAACCCTAATAAAACTCTTACGATAATATCGCGATTTTATAATAGTATTTAGCCCTAGAACTATTATCTATCTAGGTCCTAGAAGGTAAATACTAATATATTAATATATGTTGTGCTGGGTCTACTTTCTCTTTTGCTCCACTTCCTTATTTGATCCACTTATAGTTCTGCTGCCTAAATGCTTCATGTCTGCCTAAACCTTACACTCTTTATATAAACACCTGTAACGAATACTCAAACTGACTAGCTAAACTTGGCTGGGTGTTCGCTGATTGGTATGCTATGATAAGAAGAAGACTATCGGGTTGTTCACTTGGAAGTGAACTCGTTGCTTGTATCAAAGATGTCAAAC